TTAAATCTGAAGCTCTGTTAAAGTGACTGTTGGATTCTTGGTCACCCCACTGAACAAGGCCTATATTGCCTGGTTGCTCATATTGGCCAACTCTAGGAGGAGTCCTGGTGGAACCAGACCACTTCCATTTCTCCATTATCGAGGCCACTGTGCTCCTGGAAACACTCAACGCTTTAGAAATGGTTTTATTTTTTTATTGTTTTGTTTGTCCTGAACTATGCCTCACCACAGTTTTATCACAGGTCCACAGAGGGTTGTGTTTTTATCCTGACACACAGTGTGAATCATGGGACCTTATACACATAGGTGTGAACCTCTCTAAACTTTGTCCAATCAGTCCAGTACCATAATTTCTATCTTCATCGTGATTCACAGAAACACAGACGGTCTCTCTGACACTGCAGACAAACTCACAAGATTATCTGAGACATTGACACACTGTGTCATTACACCAGTTATACGTGACTTTACAGGACAAGTCACCAGCAAATGCAGCTCATAAGCAAAACGAGTATAACTGTACACTCTTAAAGCTGCTGGGTTAAGAATAACCCAATTTTTTAAACCCATATTGTCATTTGTGGGTGCTGCGTCAAAAAGGGACCGACCCAGCCATGAGCTGGACCGACCCAGCATGTTGGGTTATGTTTCTACCCAAAATAGGAAAAAATTACAATGTTGTTGAATTAAAGCTGCCAAAAACTGGGTTGAAAAAAAACAACCCAAATTCTGGGTTAAATTACTTATTTTTTTCCAGTCAATTTTCTGCTGTTAATGTTAAAATTAAATTAAAACTCTTATATAATTATGAAACAAAGAAACAAGCACATGATGTCCCAGCCCTTCTTTTATTGCTACAACCAATAAATATCAAGTTATCTATGTATAACTTAATGTTACAATACATTTAAAATGTATAAAAATATAAACCACTAATATCAAATACATGTTTCTCATACCAGTCTTTCTTCCACTGCGAAGAATGATGAGCCTCGATTTCAGGGTATATCTTCAACCCATCTGCCGCCTTAGTGTTTTATGTCTGTCTTGTCATTTCCTGCTTTATTTTGGTAGTTTCCCTCTTGTGTCTTTACTTCCTCCCGTGTGATTACCTGCCTTCTCCCTAATGTGTTTCACCTGTGTCTCGTTATTCCCAACAGTATTTATGCCCTGTGTGTCCCTTTGCACTTTGCCAGTTTGTTTTCTTTCCCAGTGAGTTACTTACCAGTGTTTTTCCTGACTGCCATTCGGCGAGAGACCGTTTCTGTTACCCGTTTCCTGAGATCTGCCTGTTCCCTGTCGGTACCGTTGCCTGATTCTGCCTGTCTGTGTTTCGACCCTGCCCGCCTGACCACGTCTCTCAGTTTTTTCCCCCCATTGGATTCCTCGCCTGTTTCCTTTGGGCTTGCCAGTTTTTCTGGAACGCTGTTGTCAGGATTCATTGATTTTGATCAATAAACTGCCTGATTGTTAACTGCCTCTCTGGTCGTGCTTTTGGGTTCAACCTTCGTGTCTTGAGCCTGACACCATTGCGTTCGGTCTCTGTATTTAACCCAACGTTAGATCAAACCTAAACCTAATAACCCAATTGTAACCTCTACTAGGTTACAATTGGGTTATTAGGTTTAGGTTTGATGTAACCTCTACTAGGTTACAATTGGGTTATTAGGTTTAGGTTTCCTAAATTGGGTTATTAAGAAAACCATGCCTTTTTTTAGTGTGTACATATAATTAGATAACATGAGGTGGTGAGAATTAAAATTTACTCTGATATCAATGTGATCCTGCTGCAGGAAGAGGAAATCTTGTAACTCATGTGACAGTCAAGAAAGCTTATCATCAAGACACTTCTCTCAGAAAGCTACACCACAGTACCACAGTTGGATGTGTCCTGTTTGCCGGAGAAACACTTGGTCTGATGTTGGTAAGTGTCTCCTCCATGTGTTAAGAACTCAGGCTCAGATACATGATACATTATGACCATGAAGACATTATATTTCAAACGTGCTTTGAGTCATAAATCTAAGCTGCTGGGAAATTTGAAAAGTAAGAGATGATGGTGATGTGTCACGGGGTTTCATCATGTGCGGAACGTGTCACGTAATCTAAAGCATCACACAAATACTTAATAACACAGCTGGATTAGGTTTAACATCTGCTTTCAGATTCAGACGCCTGTAGGCCTATACATACTGCTACACCAGTGTTATACAATAATTACTTGCTAAGTATTTGACAAGTAGGTTTGTTAAACTAGAAATTCCAGACTGAAAGCAGCACACGTCATCACTGATGTTTCAGTGTGACACACAGCTTTGTGAGTACAGAGGTTGATGATATTTGCATTTAAAGGATTGGCTCCCATTTGTCTGTCTGTCAAACATTACTCACATGTCCAATTGTGCACAAGTAGCGTTATTGACTGCTCTGATCATTCCTCCTCTTCCACACTGGCTACGAATAACACTACACCCTAACCAACACCCGAACACAACTCCAGCGTAAGAGAGTGGACATCTACAGTTGTCGTACTGTGAGAAAATGCATTATTACGTCCAGCCGATGCTAATATGATGATTCAGCAGTCCTCAGTGAGTCAGCATGGTTCTGTGGATGGAAATGTTGGTTTCCTGTCAGTCGGTTGGTTGGTTGGTGCAGACTGAAATATCTGGACAGCTATCGGTTGGATTACTGTGAATTTTTTTGCAGACAGTCATGCTTTAGTGATGCTCTGACTTTTCCTCTTGAGCCACTATGAGGTCGACATTAGTTGTAGTTTTGAGTTTCGATGAATCGCTGTCAGATTTGATGCAGACGTCCATGTGCACAGGGGTACAGAGTTGTAATAACTTTGTTTTCATCTGGTGCCATCATCAGCTCAAAATGTAACTCTGTCCCATTGGTTTCTAACTAAACAGCTGCATTACTGACACGCCCCTCAGCCTCAGCTGCACGTTGTGTTCAACAAAGCACATCCATGCAAACTTTATCATGGATCTTTGCACAGAAGGCTGCAGATGTTCTGCCTGATCACCTTTGATCACAGTGACTAACACCTACTTGTTTTACGTGAAGTTGCTTGATGCAAAGTTTGACTCTTGGTCACACTCTGTATTATTTTGGGAATCCCAAACGCAGAAACGAACCGGCTGAGGGCCTTGACTACAGATTTTGCAGAGAGTGTACGCAGTGGGTTAGCGGCTGGATATCTAGTTGACACATTACAGTTAACAAATAAGAACAACCTGACTTGGAACGGGGAACAGGACCCACACTGATATTAATAATCAAGATGTTCAAATGGCCGAGTGGACGCAGGTATTGGACACAAAGGAGCAGGTTTTATATTTCGATTAGGTTTGCTTGTGACTCGACAAGCGTTACACATCTTCACGACCTGGCTCGAAGGAAGGACAAAATGTGGAGACCACCAGTGACTCTTCAAAGGAAAAATACATTTATTGAAGAAAACTAAACGAAGTGTGCAGTCAGTTGATCAGTAATGTGTGCAGTGTGTGAACATGTGAACATGCAGGAGTGTAAGAAAACCAAAAATAAATTAAACCAAAAGTCCAAGTAACGTCAGGGAAGAGAAGGACGTTTAAGAGGTTTAAACCATCACTTCCAATGAGCCACTCCTCACATCCCAACTAACAGGACATCAGGTCCGGAGGTCTGGAGGCCGTCACAGTACATGTGTGACAGAAGAACCAGTATCAGGGCTGATTCTCTAGAGACGAGTTGTTTTCACTCACAGTGCGGAGCCAGAAAAACCAGAGATTCTGACTTTTTGCTTTGAGGGCAGAGTGGTCACCGCGCTCACAGTGAGCCAATTGTTCAGTTAGGTCATGTCCTGTGTGAATGGAAGATGATGAAATGAATGAGCATCCTACAGCTGCACAAACAATTCGTTTCTGACCAGGATTTAACTGAATGGACACATAAATGAATCCATATTTACTCCATGTCTGATGATCACATGGTTAAATGTACATTTAAGTGCTGCTGGACGCTCGCCGGGCAGAGGGAATCTGTGTACATCATCTGCCAATCCTTTTAGTGTTCAGCGATTACGTCTCTGTCCTTTGGATTTCTGTTGATATTCTGCGTGTGTCGCGTTCAGTGCTAATAATCTAGTAGTATAGTCTGATCATTTCTGACTGATGTCAAGTAGCCTTTGTACTTCCTATGTGTTGGTGGCTTTTACACAGGAAAACACTTTACTCCTCCACTGAGTGTTTGTTTTCACTCTGTTGCCTTGTATGACCTGTGTAAAGCCCTTTGTAACAAGTTCTAGAAATAAAAATCTTTATTATCATTATTATTATTATTACTGAGAATAAGAAAACTGACTTCACTTACATCATACTGCCACACTGTGGTACTTGAGCTTCACTATGCTCCACCTACTGAACCACACAGGCTGACCCCCGTGTCCTGAATTGTCCCTCTCTTGTGCACATTGGCTTTATTGTCTTTGCTGTGACCCCAAGCATTTGCTCAGTGGGAGAGGGACGGACGAGGCAGGGAAGGAGCGTCCGAGGAGCTGCGGATAGAGCTCAGTAATCAGTTTCTAAATCTGCCAAACATTCTGAAATATGATGTGGTGACGACCGTGTGACAAGTGATGCATGTGGAATTTACCATATGGTTTCAGAGGTGCGAGTGAGTCAGTCACAACAATGAGTCAAACTGCTGATGTTAATGGAAAAAAAAAAAAGAAGAAGAGCGGCTAAAATTTCATCCATCAAAAAAGGTAGGAGAACTGTCACAACCTTTGCATCATGTCTGTGTGTAAATAACTGTGAGACAGTATCGTGTGTCATGAATCTTAATGTGTGACAATGCAAGGCAAGCTTTGGCCACAACAGTATTCTTCCTGCATTCCTAAAAAGAGCAGGGGCATGCTCAGGCCGGTTGTGAGTGTGGTGTAAATTTATTGTCAATCAGGAAGTGAGCTGTGACAGGTTCTGGAGGGCCGGCCGAAGGTGTGGCCACGCATGAACAGCAACGCAGCATGCAGGTAGAGTGGCATAAAGCCTTGATCAGAGCACCGATCTGCTCTGTTACAGTGACTGTCTGCACTTGGACAATGACGCCAACTCTTCTATTGTGGATCCTCATCCTAAATGCCTCGCTCAAGCCCTCGGGTAAGTCACTGGATACTGTTACCTCCACTCAGCACGGTGGCTAATTAATAACTAAAGCCCAGGTTTATCCTATCCTACTTATTCAAAGCACTTTAACTTGTGTTTTTGGCTTCTTTGGTTTCTGTTCACATGTTCTAAACCACCAGACTAGATACAATGTGATGTAATGTTTCAGAAATGATATGAAAAACATGATACACATTTAACTTCCATCACTTTTAGGATGTTCAATTATGGGTTAAAAAATATGGTTGACTGACGTTATCAGGGATAATGGACCTTTTGGAGAAAATGTGCTCGGAGCCTGATGTATTTGCTTGTGCAAGATATGATTAGATAGGAAAGGCACAACCACAGGGACTGTGGTTTGTGCTGAGCAACAACACCTAATGGTTGTTACCACACATGTTACCGTGTTATAATGCTTGATAAGCTACGCAAAGTGTGTGAAATTACTTTAAATGCGTTTCTGATGTTGTGACACACTTGTTGTACTTTGTTTCACAACAAAGCCACCACCCACTCAGGTGCTACTGTGTACCTGGCCTTCAGGTAACCATGACTCAGAGGGACTTAGTCATTTCATTTCAGGCACATTTCATTGGCTTGGGGAATTCAGTCTTTGGTCAAGAAGTTCTTTACTTTGGTGAGACAACATCCGGTAACGACAAACTGCGAGGTGTCACTGAACTAATTAGGAAAAAAACAGCCCCAGATGAAACTGCAGGAACTGATATTGAGACACTGACTGTGATGTACAACTGTGATGGACACTATATGAAAATATGTAAAAATCAGGAAGTGATAAGTAAGAGGACAAAAAAAAGAAGTAGGGTTTATATTTGTTTAAGGAACTGTTGCACTGTTACTGACTGCACTATAAACAGATAGAAGTGTGAGGAATGAAAAGTCACAAATGAAAGCTTCATTCACTGGTTTCGTCTAAACACTACCTGTGAGATCACACTCTCAATATAGCAAACTATTTTAATCACTATAAAGACAACCCAGTCACAGTACCAGGGGTACACAAGAAAAATTATACAGACATACTCTGAAATTAATCTACTTTCTCTTTTTCCACCTTTTCAGTTAAGAAAAAAAAAATCTATTTATCTAATAATCTTTTTTATCTAATCTAATCATTTTACTGTTTAGTTACTGTTACATTATAGTAAACTTGTTTATTGCATTTTCCACATTAATGGTAATAGAACAGAAAAAATTTACAGCCCATATCCAAATGTAATATATGCACATATATTACATTTCCATATATGAAATATATATATGAAATATATGGAAATGTGAAATGGAATCATATATGTAATCTAAAAATTATCTATCAAACCTATAAAAAATTGGAACAATTTCATATATTGACATATACGTCTAGCACATAAAAATATGTATGTAGATGTATGTGCTTTTATTGTAGACATATGTTGTATATCCATCGCAAAGCCAATGTCAACATATGTTGATTTATATTTTATATATATATACACAGTAAATCTAAAAGATAGATTGAGTAAAATCCAGCCCTGAATAGTGTCTGCAGGTATTTCCCTCAGGCTGCTAAAAGACCCAGCGAGGCCGGGCAGCCTGTATCTCTGCCAGAGAGGAAAACTGCTCCCAGTGCGACTCAGATGAATATAAGTACTTTCACACACAGCTCTCTCATCTGGCCTGTGGTGGCTGGATAGTTTAAGAGCAACAGTCAGAGAGAGTTTAGCAAGAAAATCAACCACAAAGTGTAAAGCTAACAGAGGACTTTGAAATGACCTTCCCTGGTCATCATACAAACCAAAACCTGACATTTACTTTTTCCTGCTCACAAAAGCCTTTTTATTCCTCCTGATAAAGTTATAAAAGGATCCCTTCACTGATAACTAGTGTCCATGACAGAGCTTCAGGTTCTGTGTTGATACTATATACACTTCATATTAATGTATCACGGGTTGTTACACAGGGACAATAGAAAATCTCAAGTTGAATAACCCAAACATTTGAGCCCAGTCAGAAACACCAGAGGGCAGGAAGGCAGCTCAGCAACTATTTTGCACTCATCAGCCCTGATCTGATCTAATCTGCTGTGAGGTCAATGAAGTCAATGAATTATCCTACAGCAAACTTTCTCCTGGAGGATCAGTCTGTAAAGCTGCTGTAAAGATTTTACTCACCTGAAGCTAAAGTTGTGTTTTTTTAAAAATCAGCTTTAATCATTAGGGACGTAGCAGGCGCTGTTTGTTTGTTTTTCTGACTCTGGAATGAAGTTGTGAAGAAGCCAAGGGGCTAAAAGAGTTTCTCAACCTTAGGATCGGGGTCATATGGGGTCATTCAATATGTGCATGAGGTCACAGGAGGTGTCAGACCTGACAGAAAGAAACTCTCGGTTACTTTCTAAATGAAGTCCACATCTTTCGTTAAGTTTTAAAGGAACAGTTTGACATTTTTGTTGTTTGTTTCCAATGTCATGTCTGACTGTGTCGTTTGTACACTTTGTTTTTGTATGAATTATAAATAAGTTATGAAGAGGTACCAACAATCACGACATAACGTGTGCATGTGTATGAGGCCGCTGTTTGTTACTTGCCTTCTACATCGTCAGTGTTTGTTACTTTTAATCATGATAATCTTCCTTAAACTTCTAATCACACGGTTCTTCTATTAACTATGTCTGCAAATGTTTAACCAAGCCCTTTTTTCTCCCTAACTATGACTAGAGATGCCAAACTATGTATTGTTTTCTTTAATTTGGAGGACCTGGAAAAGTGCAGGACATGTTTAGTCTTGCTAGCACAAAGAGTGGAAGCTCTTGCTCTCTGTTAGCAGTTGGAAACAGACGTAATCAGCTCTATCTCCTTGTTGTATACCTAGTCAAATTATCATATTCTTTCCTATCACAAAGTAAGTTAACATGTGTTGAATCTCCACAGAGAGCCATGGAAATGGGTTCGAGGAGGTGAAGGACTACGAGGTGGTTCGACCCGTCAGACTTCACTCAGTCAGAAAACGAGATGCAGAGGTATATTTTTCTGTTTTTCACATTTTAGTGTCAGTATCACAGAGATTGCAAATATTATGCAAACAAGGTATGGTTGTGATGTTTGTGTGGGGAAACTTACTGACAGCACAATTTCAAATGTCTATTTTCCACAGTCCCTCAGACCAGAGACTATTAAGTACGCAATGAAGGTGGGAGGAAAGCACCTTGAAATGCAACTAGAAAAAAATGAGTAAGTTTTATTTCCCTAAAGGCAGGAAACTATCAGGGACAAAAAGACAAACGAATACTTATACAAAGTTTCTATAACTTGTTGAGCATAAACAGTTGATATTGTCATATGTTGTTGCATGTAATGTTGATGCCTGAGACAAAGCAGCTCTTAAGAAATCCAAGTCGAGACAGTCTTTAAAACAATTCTTCACTTCCTGGTTTTACTTCTTCTTCTTTTGTGGTTTTCCATGTCACTGAACACATTAAAAGTCATGTTAAGTTTCTTTTGATAAAAGCAGATTTTTACATGTCTGCTAATCAATGTTGGATTTGATTATTTTCAGTAAGAACATTTGCTGAGTTTTCCCAGGTCTCAAAAAGTGAGGTCATTATAAATGTGTTAGAATACAAATACTACTGTGGCATGACCTTTTATCTCTTTTCTTCATCAGTGAATTACTCACCAAAGACTACACAGAAACATACTACCAAGAAGATGGGACTGAAGTCACCAGAACCCCAAATGACATTGTAAATGTTTGCATTCATCTGCAATTTCACTTCCGCCTTCAGATGTACAGTAGTTAGACTTGATGTGAAATAACAGACAACTGTGGTTTCTAAACCATGTGTTTTAGTGGTTTTAAAATGCTTCTAAGACCAAGTTCATCATCCTCATGTCTTTACCAGGATCACTGCTACTATCACGGGAGGATTGTCAACGACAGCAGGTCGTCTGCCAGCATCAGCACTTGTGATGGACTTAGGTGAGCCCCTCAAACCACCTCTAATTAACTTTACTTTTTAGAGTCATCAAAAACTTTAATACACGCTGGTCCAATATTCTATGTTTTCCATAATAAGACTTATTCACATCACAAACAAAATGAATGGAGATAAACTTACATACAGTGGGTTTATCAAAGTTTCTTCTGTTAAAAACAGCTGCCTTCTGCCTGGAAATGACAGTGGGCTGACAATCAAAACCTGTAAAGCTGTACGACACAAAACCAAAACAATGAGCTGAAAGGCGCTAAAAGCCTAAAAACTGCAGAGCTGAGAGAATTACATTATTGAGTGATAATTCTCTTTCCATTGTCAATACACAACATATTGATTCTAGCTGCTTTAAAATGCCACCAAATCATACTGACATATGTAAAGTTAGTTAGTTAGTTCCTCTCATATATTAGCATAGAACCAAATCACAGACACATCAAGTTCTCCAAAAAATAACTAAAAAAATAAATACATAAAAAAATCCAACCATCAGGATAAAAATATTCTGAATGATAAAACTGAGTTTCTCAGTTTCAAGTGCCTCTGTGACTTATAGCTAACAATGATGGCAGTCTGTCAGCTACTCGGCAAGGAAATACAGTCACAACTTAAAAATCTACTTGAAAGCACAAACTGTGGCTTGATTCACTATAGCTAACATCACTGACCATCGAAGAACATGAATAACTATAAAAATGAAAAGTAGACATGTATATTTAGATTTCATCTTTCATATTTCCAGCGTACTGTGTGTTTGTCAGATAGCTTACGGAGGAAAGACAGAAAAAAGTCTCAATGAGGTGTGACTAAACCAGCAGTGTATATAGAACTAAAAGAACTGGCCTGATCTGGATCTTGATTTAGGGGTTACTTCAGAACATCTGCCCAGAGGTACCTGATTGAGCCCCTGTCTGGCGATGACGAGGGGGATCACGCAGTGACGACTTTCAATGAGACGAACTTCACACCTGCGGTTTGTGGCGTCACCAACACCAGCTGGAGTGATGACCTTGAACCCCCAACCGGCCGCAGCCGCTCCAGATCAGCGGTAACATGAACATCCTGTACTGTTTTAGGTTGTCAGACTGTCCGATCTGACGTGATGCAGCTCTAACACATCATTCAACCTATACATGATCAAACTGGAAATTCAGTCTTAAGAGGACATTCAGTAAAATCTACCTTCCCTCTTTTGCCCTCCAGGGAAAGTCTATCGTCTACCAACAGAAATACATTGAGCTCTTCCTTGTTGCTGATAACCGTGAGGTAAGATGTAGTTTTGGCTACATATGGTGATTTAAATTAATATACATTAAAATAATGGAGAGTTGAAATAACAGTAATTATCATAAATATCTGGCTGATGTGCTTTTTGTAAATGATCGGCCTTGTCTCCTATAATGCTGGTAAGTGTCAGCTGCGGTCAGTGTCAGTGTTTGATCATATTTCATGTGAGCACTTTATGAATCAACCTCTGAGAAACAGGATGTGTCTCTGCTCTAACTAATATGGTGTTTCAGTATGTGAAGATGAAGCGAGATCGGACAGAGCTGAGAAAGAGGATATTTGAAATGGTCAACTTTGTCAACATGGTGAGTCGCTGCTTTCACAGTTTCAGGATAACGAAGGCACAAATGACACATAACCTCTGTCAGCTGGTTTTGAGTGTTTTGATGATGCCCAGCCTTATTTCCAGTTCTTGCAATTTATTTGCAGCAATAACCCTAAAAGTTTAGTCTTTCACTGTGTCATGGCGTCTTTCTGGTGATCCCCTCTTGGTGTTTTAGGCCTATAAACCCCTGAGGACCTTCGTTGCTCTGGTGGGGCTAGAGATCTGGAACAACAATGACTTGATCTCTGTGACCCCCCCGGCCGGGGCCAACCTGGACGCTTTCATGAAGTGGAGGAACTCTGAGTTGGTCAAGAAGAAGAAGCATGACAATGCACATCTCATCAGGTGTGAATAGCCTCTAGAAGTAGAAACAAGTAGCCTGGTGTTAAATGTGAGGAACTGCCTCTTATGTTGAGTGTTACAACCCTGCAGGCATCTAGGAATAAGGGAGGCAACAACTGCAGATGCGGTCTGCCAAACAAAGCTGTGTATTATTTAGTGGACCAGCAACTTAAAGGTACAAACATACAAGCTCTCTGCCCAACTATTTATACAGGACAGAGTTCAGTGAGGTGAGGAACAATGGGAATAGCTGTAGGTGGCACCAAATCATAAAACAAACAAAATAAGATCAACTTCCTTCCTGGCCCTGAGAGCTCAACGCACTGCAGCTTGACAAACGCACTGCACTGGCTGGGATGCACTTGTTCTTCAATGTCCAACTGTGACTTTTCAAGTTAAAAGCATTGAATAACAAGTGCATTCCACCCTGGTTCATCACTCAGGTTTTTTCTTTTTAAGTTATTTTTTGCTTTAATCCCGATAGAGAGAGTGAAAGAGACTGAGAGAGAGAGAGGGAGAGAGAGAGAGAGAGAGGGAGAGACAGAGAGAGAGAGAGAGAGAGAGAGAGAGAGAGAGAGAGAGGATGAAAGGGCCACGGGTCGGACTGCAGTGGGAATTACACCTTTATGGAAACATAATCCTCTCAGCACCACATGTAGTTCTGTTAATTGTGTTGAACACTAGGTTATGGGTAATTTGACATGTAAGATGAGTGCAGCCAGCCAGTGTATTCGTTTTGCATTAAAGAAAAAACACTAAGTAGAATTAACACCCTGCAGTTGTACACCTCCGCTAGCCAGCCACATTGCAGGAAGTATGGTCACAATCTCACAATCTCTCCTTCCTGAGTTACAGCTTTGAGTAATGGCCAGAGGTGTTTTTGCAGAACATTATGATGTCACAGCGAAGTTGACATTTGACCATTTGGATATCAATTGTCATCACTTCATCAGTAATTTGTGTTAAATTGTTTCATAATTACTGTATGAATTCTTGAGTTATGGCCAAAAATAAGTCTTCTGAGGTCACAGTGACCTTGACCTTTGACCTTTGACCATCTAATTATAATCAGTCCATCACTGAGTCCAAATGAACACTTTTACCAAATTTGAAGGGATTTTCTGAAGGCCTGTATGAGATATTACATTCATGAGAATGGGACTGATGGACAGACGGATGGACAGAGCTGAAAACATCCATCTGTGGTTGTCGCCATCAGAGAGAATTTAAGAAACCAAGCCTAATGCCCAGAATCCAAAACCACTGAAGTAATGCCTTGGTCATTTAACGATATCTTATGTCTAAAGGTCTCAGTTAACTAAGTTTCACAAAGTGACATATATCAGTTTGCAATAAGGAGAGAGGGAGAAAGATTTTGTTGCTTACATACTGACTCCTACTGGCACCGAGTCAGTATTCAAACATGAAGCTGACAGCTGAGGGATTAAAACGCAGTGATCTCTGTCTCAGCACTAGACTTTGTTAAATAAAAGGGCGTCTCGAGCTCTGGTTTCCTTCTTAAAACAAACAATGATGTCTTGTTTTGTCAGTTGAACCACTCTGAAGCATCGGTTCTTAACGTACCAGACGTTTTAGTTTCCTGCTTGTGTAACTTGAATGCATGGGCATATTGAAACATTACTGGCTTCCACATTAGGTTCAGTGTTACAAAAGGTGCATCAATGTTTCAAATTCGTATTTCAGGGAAGTAGATATGTCTCAATAAACTGAAAAACATGCAATTCACAGTTACTTTGGGCTCATCAGATCTGCCTCCCTAAACTGTACAAAGTCACAGGAAAGTCTCCTCCCCACACAAAACATTGTTTTTATAATTGGCACTGCTGGTTAACTATGCGACTTAAACTCTACAGTGCCAGTTTAGTTATTTGGTCAGTCATTGCGGAACCACATCATGCCTTTGTGAAACTGGTAAAGTTGAATTCCCATAAAATCAAGACAAATAAGAACAAAACGAGTAACCAAATAAAAGCCTCAGACTTGCTGATGCCAGCCATCCGGCCACATTTCCTGTGGATAGTGCCAGGTCTTTTGTTTTTTTCACAGTCAACACTAAGTTTTGAGTAGAATTAGAGAAGTAGATGGATGGATGGATGGATGCACAGCACAGACATGATGTGTAATATTCAAACTGTTCCTCATCTTGTCTTTCCTTGTCTTTCAGTGGTATTGACTTTGAAGGATCAACTGTGGGGCTGGCTTTCATTGGGACTCTTTGCACTGATAACTCTGTTGGGGTCGTACAGGTGAGGTGCTTCAGGTCGACACTAAGATTCGTTCTCATGTATCCTGCTTCACCACGGGGTTCAAATTTCTGATTTTGAGTGAAATGTCTGACCATTGAGATTATTTGCATGGTATTTGGTCCAGACATTCATGCTCCCCTGAGGATGAAGTGCAACTTAACTTTATATACTAGCACCATCATCAGGTCAAAATGAAGTTTAATTCGTCTAATACTCTGATTAATGACCAAATATCTGCAAAAACAGACATTCCCATCAGCCTCAGTTGTACTTTGGGGCTAAATAACAAAAGTTAACATGCAAACACACTACACTACTTGATGTCATTGTAATAATCGTGTCAGTCAGAGCTGCTAGCACGGATGTAGTCTTGATATTCTATGAGTAATGGACAGAGACGGCCGATAGCTGAAGCAGATCTGTGTCTCTGTTGTCAGTACATGTAACTTTCTCTGCCTCTGCAAATTTATTTTACTGTAAGAAAAAAATCAAATATTAATAATCCACTCTTTAAAATGTCATAATTTTGAGTTCCCCATTATTATCAAGCGTAAGTAAAATGTCAGACCCTTTGTGATGCATTATTTTAAAGCAAAAGTGTCACCTTTTTCACATGGGGATAAGAAACTCCTCCACTGTAGTGCAGCACACATCTAGACTGCCATGGGAATAAAGGAACTCTGTCAGTACAGCCAAAAAAGCCTCAACATTACTGCAGCCAGAAAATTGCTAAACAAAACAGACTGAGGAAACAGATATGTTTTATGATGTGTCAGCTGGCTAACCTTGGTGTGTGTTTCGTTTAAAAGGTTGTAAAATGCTGATAAAAGTGATTAATCTGAGTTCCACTCGCATAACTGCTGGTCTGTTACCTCTCAGGATCACAATGACCGGGCCATTGCTGTGGGAGCTACACTGGCTCATGAGATGGGCCACAACCTGGGCATGGACCACGACGACTCCAGTGCCTGTGCTTGTTCTGGGGATAGCTGCATCATGGCTGCAGCCCTCAGGTAAGAAAATCATTTGAGAATCTTTATCAGATTCTGATTCTGATGTTGATTGAAAGACTTTCTTGTTTAACAAGCCTGTAATGACAAAGTATTTAGTAGCACGCTCTTCATCTCTGCCTGAGGCTACATTAGCTGCTATAACATACTCGAATCTCCATCAGAACTGTCAGTGGTCTAGTGGCATTGTGGGTAAAGTAGTGACCATGTTTTAACCAGGAAGGAAAATTTGTGGAATAAGAAAGTGACATTTCTGGTTCTGCTGCATCAGTTTTGATTCTTTTTTTTTTATTGCCCTCTGTAGGTGCAACACTAAATCAAAGGAGTACTTTTTTAGACATTTTGATGTCCCTCAGTCGGAAAAGTCCAGGTGTAAATAATAAAAGGATAATAAAAGAATTTAGGGTCCTTCTGTTGCACATTCTGGCTGAGTTTCACACTGTCGAGACTTAGAGGGACATTTTGATGGTGGAGCCATTAATGCTGTTAATCTAAGTACTTAGATCTGTGCTTTCCCCACTAATACAAGTCAAAATGTCTGCTGTGAAAAAGGCCTATAGAAAAAGATCCAATCAAAACCATTTTCTGGGAAGTGGAGGCTGACAAGGCGTCACTGCGTTCAGAAAACGTCCAATTGTGGATCAAAGACGGTGACTGTGGCATTAACAAGGACTCTTGTGTTGTTTTTCCTCAGCTGGAACATCCCTCGGACCTTCAGTAGCTGCAGCAGCAGCAACTATGAAAGATACCTGACGAGCCGCAGCCCCAGCTGTCTGCTGGACAAACCGGACTACAGGAGCTTGGAGACTCCTGCAGTCTGCGGGAACGGCTTCGTGGAGAAAGGAGAGCAGTGTGACTGTGGCACTGTGGAGGTGAAGAAAACACACAAGCACTCATTCAAGCATCATATGATTTTATCTTATTGCACTGACAGTGAAGTATCTGCATCAAGGCCATTGTTTTCTGAGCATCAGACAGACCTTGCTCCATCTTTTAAAGATCTCCCCGCTCATAACCTTATTATATTTGTCTGATCGTGACTGTTTCAGGGGAATGACGCTGCCTGACATGCACCAACACATTTAAGAAAAGAAAATCAGAGCCAGTCTTCTTCTAAAAGTGACTGAAGGCAGATACATTAATGTGAAGTAACACGTGTACTGATACAAAATCTTTTGGTTAGTAGGCTACATTAGTCACAGGTGTATCTACAGTTTACAAACCCTAATTTCCACCTTAACATCAGTTCAGCATAATAGCAAAGTTGTAATTTTCATTGAGAAGTACATTCCAAAGCGATGCGCTGTGAATCTGTTCGGACCTGTTTTTATCCTCTGCTGGTTTTCAGCCGAAAAATAAACTCTTCTTTTTCAGCAGGTTATTAATGACAGGGAAACACAAACACGTAGAACTATGTAAATCCATGGAACATTACTGATGGGACCATAACACAGGGAAGTTACACATCATGACAGGAGTAATTAAATCAATAACAGCCTAATGGCTTCTGTGTTGTTGTTACAGGAGTGCACCAACCCATGTTGCAACGCCACCACCTGCGCTCTGACAGAGGGATCAGAGTGTGGTTACGGCGAGTGCTGTGAGGACTGTAAGGTGAGTAAATGTGAATTAATAAATGAAAGAAATGGCTTTTATTCCCTTTGCTTTTACATCGTGGTGTTTGAGCTGCCACAGCCCCCTGGTGGGCATTTGAGATATTACAAATATTTGACCTTGCTCCATTTTTTAAAGATCTCCCCGCTCAAAAATTAGTTGCGCTTATTTGTATTTGACTTGGGTGTTTGAGCTTCACTGTGCAGAATGAGGTTTTTGCAGAGTTTGACATTGGAAGACAGTTTTCACATTCACCTGTGCGAAACCTTAAATCTGAGTTCGAGACACGAACATACTGAAGCATGATTTTTGCAACAGCACAACTGGTATGGAAACCAATCATGGTCCGATATGCAACTTACAAATCAAAAGGCATCCAGGGTTGGATGGTGGGTCCAGGTGGGCTGGGCTGGAGGCGCTGGTTTCGCTGTGATGTTGCAAAATTACGAAAGTTCTGACAGCTGGTTTTAAGGCTCAGTTTCTGAATACAGGCTGTGTGCATTTCTCTGTGTGAGTGTTTTGATACTTTCACACTATTACACACACATACACCTGCTTTCTAATAAAAGTGTGAATTTTCCAATGAGGCAAAAGGAGTATTCTTTGTATATTGTTCTTTATTTCTGGCATTTGGGAACGTTTATACTAAATTTTTTTTGTAAAATTTTATTAGTCCTTTACCAGAACTACTGCTGCTCTGTATCTGCTGTCACCATAGCAACTTAAAAGATGATGTCAGTATTGTTCCCACCCAAAGTGGCCAAAGTGTTAGTTAAAGGGAAGCAACTTCTAAATCTAAAACAAAAACTAGTGTAAGTGTAATTCCAAAAAGATTTACCCGACAGACACGTGACGCTATTTAATATCGCAGAAACTTAAAAGATTAGTTAACCATGTAAAACAAGACTGCAGGTGCGTTTGTCCACCACCACCACAACAGCTAAAGCAAGGCATGGTCGTTAATGTGGCACGATTAATGCACTGAGGCAGTTTGAGCACACCTGTAAAGCATCACATACATAAGTAAAGTAATCTATGACATGATGTCATGTGATTGACTGTGACTCCCACCTCCACACAGATCTCCTCTCGCTCCAGGGAGTGCCGCAGTAAGCAGGACGACTGCGATCTGGCAGAGTACTGCGACGGGACGAGCTCCGTCTGTCCTGAGGATATGTTCGCTGTGAATGGCCTCCCATGTGATAAAGGCCTGGGATACTGCTACAACGGCCAGTGTCCGCAGAGGTCAGACCAGTGTGTCAGGCTGTATGGATCAAGTGAGTGTCCTTTTTCTTCCATGAATTTTTTTTATTTATTTTTTTTTAATTTTAAATAGTTTATTCTGTCTTCTAAAAATCCCTCCTTGTCATCAGGTGCTATAGAGGCGCAGTCGTACTGTTATAACTATAACACCAGAGGAACCTACTACGCCTTCTGCTCACGTCCGTCAAACGACAAATACGTCCCCTGCCAGCGAGAGTGAGTCTCAGCCAAAGTCAGCCAGAGTTTGATAGTTACTCTGTAAAGGCCCTAACTTATATTCTTGTTAGTTTAATGTGCACACTCACCAAATTAAAGTGTCTGCATTAGAATAAATGTTTATGTTTCTGCAGAATAAGTCCGAATGTTGGCTCTTCACATTCTGACTCTCTCTCTCTCCTCTGCAGAGACATCCTTTGTGGGAAGCTCTTCTGCCACAACGGTAATGAAAACCCAAACTACGGCCGCATGGTGAAGGTCAATGACTGCAAGGCAGCTTTTTTTGGAGAATACACTAAAGACTTCGGCCAGGTGGACACTGGGACTATATGTGGGTTGGAAAAGGTAATAAGCTGTGTTACTCATTCTGTGAATGTGTTTCACTGTGATCATTGCATCAACTCGAAATCCACTTGTTCAAAACTTACAAACCGATGTGTGTGGAGCTCATTAAATGTCATTGACTGTCCTGTTTTTTTTTTTTTTCCAAGGTGTGCAGCCAGAATCAGTGTGTGGATCTTCACACAGCGTACAGAAACACAAACTGTTCTTCCAAATGCCAAGGCAATGCTGTAAGTACACACCAACACCGCTCAGAGTTCAGTTCGGTTCAGTTTACTTTAGTTTAGTTTGGATGTTTATAATACTGCAGCAGATAAGTCTGCATATGACAGGCATTGTGCATTTTATGACTGAAGAATGAAGCTTTCTCCAGTGTTTCTATAAACAATGAAGTTTATTTTCAGACGTGGAGGCATTTTAGATTTCAGAGAGGGTGACCCAATTTCTGCCTGTCAAATTTAATTGTCTTTTCACTTTTTCAAGGCGGTATACATCACTTAAGTTTTATTTTACATTCTTTTTATACATAGATTGCACAGAACTGCTGTATGAAGAGCTCCTCTCTCTTGTTATACCCAAATATGATAGACTTGAAAATGGAATGCTGAGGTCAATGAACTTTCAAGGTTTACCACAGGTCAGATATAAATTGCCTCCGTGTTTGAAATAAAGCCTTGGCGTATGTAGATTATATGCTGAAACGTTCATGCTTAAGTCATAAAATGCACAATTGGTTTGCATGTCTGCCGCACTATGATGGCAATCATCTCCTTTGTGTTCCTCAGGTGTGCAACCACAGAAGCGAGTGTCAGTGTGAACCTGGGTGGATGCCTCCTTACTGCACTTCAAAGGATGGAGCTTTCAATTCTCTTTCTACTGGTACCTAGAATTGTTATATACTCTCTCTGCCCCATCTTATGATGAATACTGAATTTGAACCACTGATGTTGCACCGCATCCAAACAAAACCGATGTTTGTTCCATCTCTGCAGGAACAGCTGTCGCCATCTCACTGACAGTTATACTAGTGGTTGTCGGGATCATCGCCGGTGTGGTATGGTTGATGTGGAAGAAACGACAAAGTCCCATGTTGTCAACGTAAGTAATGTTCACCCTGTTTGCAGGTCTTGGAGTGGCGATGTCACTGTAAACTCCAGCAGAGTAAATCTTTCTTTCTACCGCAGAGCGCACACCCAGAGGAAGCCGGCGGCGGTGAACAGGCCGGCTCCTGGTCCGCCCAGGCCGGCGCCACAGGTAATGTGTGGGAATGTTACTGTGTTGAGTTGGGATATAACAGATAACAATATCACTGCAAGTCCTAACAATCCCTGAAATTTCAGATTGGAAGGCCCAAGCCCAAAGGACCTCCACCTCCACCACCTCCAGCAGGGAACAGACCTAAACCCCCGAGCCAGAACTACATAGCTGCACGCCAGGTAACTGTGATTACACACAGTTTGTGGGCTTCTGCTACTGTGTTCAACACCACAAGTGTGACGTGATTCAATCAAACTATTCCAACATTAGATAATGCCGTTCAAAGTGTCAACAACCAGGACGCCTAGAAATGTTGATTCTAGTGTGTTTCTGCAAAAACTTGGATTGTGGAAGGTGAGGAGTGAGATGAAAATTCAATGTACAGCGATGCTCATCTCTCTCCTTGTGTAGAAACATTTATCAAAACCACAGAAGAAGAGCACAATCAGGAGCATAAATTTTGTATTTCTCTTGTTGCCAACATCCCTCATCTGATTGGATGATAAGACTTAAACTTAAATTATTCAGATACAAACCTGTGATAAAAGACATGAAAATATAAGAACTGGGTGTAAAACATAACTTTTCCTTTAGGTTTCAACACTCTCATTTATATTTTGTAATACATTTCTTGTCCTGTAGGCTCTGAAGCCAACACCTCTACCAATGGTCTGATACCTATAAGTAAACCTGGAGAGACTCACCTCTGTCCACTGTCCCCAGCAAGAGGCAACTGGCAAGTTTCTATGAAAGGCTTCCTGTCCTGTTTCCTCTGCAGCTTCCTCACTGCAGCGCTGTGTGAAGAACTCGGTGTGTCTGTACCTGCAGACTGTCGGTGGGACAAACTGGACGCTAAATCATTACTATGGCATGCCACTGTGGACTTGTTATTGCTGGATGTACTTATTGTTTTTAAGGCACTTTTTTATGCTTAGGGTGAGAGTTAGTGCAGGGAGGAAACAGCTCTGACCCTGAATTCGAGCCATATCATTTTATACATGTTCTTTTATTTGTAACAGGGATGGTATAGATTATTGCACAAGACTGGATTTATTTGTCAAACTGTATTCAGCAGCTGCAGAAGTTTCATATTTTATGTTGCTTGTTTTAAAAAATGTTTTGAATGAATTGTTTTGACAGACTTTGACGTGATGGTCTAAAATTTCTGGTCCATTTCTGGTTATGTAATAGAAATGCTAACTTAGATGACAGTCAGAAACACTGATTACCCAGCCACTCCAAAGCTTTTATAGCATGCTACCTGCAGCATTTTTAGTCCAATCTCAAGCAAGTTTTTCATTGAAAATGTAAAATGAGGAAATTAAGGGGTGAGTAGGAAAATGTAGGTGATTTTTAGTCGTGTGTTCGTAATTTGCATTTTCATGGAGCATTTTGAAAGTTGGAAAGTTCAAAATACTTAGAGCTGTGTCTCTGCTGAGCGCCCACAGACCCTCCTGTGAATGTTTATTAAAAACAGGCCCAATTAAGTTTATATTCGCTAAGTTAGTCATCATGACTCGTGTGTTGTGTTGTGAGGGGGTTTCACTCACTGTAGGTTGGGTTGTTTCTCTTTGTCATCTCTAATTTGGTTTACATAAATAGATTTTTTTACGATGAACCTTTGTTATGCTGCTGCTTCTCTAAAAGGAGTTCACTGTGTGAACATGTACATAACGTGAAAAACATTATATGAGCTAAATATCCAGGTTTCAGATTTAGTACTCAGTGAAAATATGATGGTGTTTTTCTGTGCTGCAAGGCTAAAGCAGCTGAAATGTTGTAGCATTACTAACCACAATCTTGTGAACAGTGACAGGACAACAAGCAGCCAGATATCATATTATTATAAATGTTCCAGTTAAACAAATATCTGAAAACAACATGTTCTTGTGTTGTGTGAAAGGATCCAGGTGGTAATAATCTTGATGTTAGAAAGCCTATGACTGAATAAATATCACTGTGCTCAGTTTTGGATGTGTCATTGAAAAAGTTTGTAAATGATGAGTCAATGTAAATTAATACTGAGGAATAAATGTGTATTTTATACAAATGCTGCAAATGGATTGTGTGGAAAAAAAGACAAACTGTTGATGCTAGACGTGAAAACCACTTATCTCAAAGCTGCATCTTTTTTTTTTTTTTTTTTTTAATATATATATTTTGGCCTCTTGGGGGCAGCAGAACAAGCTGTAAACACAACATTAACATTGCAGTATTATCACTTTTATAAAGAAGTCACAAAATTCAGAGAACTTTGGAGCCACTAAAATCCTGAATTTCCTGATGCAAATTTAAGTGAAATAACAAGAAACAACATCCAAGATGAGTCCAAAAAAGAAGGAAAAGGGGGGGACACACTGTATTTGAATTTTATTATTTTCTTTCAAGTGCTACAGCTACGTAAAAGATTTCATGGCCTCGCCTGACAAGTACGGTACAGTTGTTTTCACCCCTTTTTTACAGCTATTTTAAGATCATTGATGAACAATTTTTTTTTACATTTTGCAAAATGTGTATAGGACCTGACAGGAGGTCAGTATATTGTACGGCTCAGCCAATGAAGCCTTACCTTTAAAACAATTTTTAGCATCACAGTTATGAATGTAAACCGAAATATTTAGGAAGGTTTCCCACAATTTACTGAACGTAACGGCAAACAGTGATAATTTGGAAATCTTTAAGGATGTCATGTTAATATTGCTGACACAGTCTTTAATAATGTGTGATTGAAAGTCTCTTGGACTGACTCTGGTCACCATCCACACATACATACACACACACATATATGGATCTTGACATGTGTGGCCAAGGTGGCATGGCACATGAGCACAATCGCCTAACATTTAAAAAAAAACAAAAAAAACAAAAAAAAAAGGAGTAAATTCAAAAGAGAATAGCAAATCTTAAAGCTTATTTTCCCTCCTTTCTGAATTGACAAAAGACAACAGAGTTACAGTCAGGTGTGTCGAAGCACCAGTTGAGTTGGTTTTATGTCCTAGAAGAAGAAAAAGAAGAAGTGGGTCTTAAAGGGTTGGGAGTGCCTGTGAGGAGGAGTGGAGGTGTTCAGACCAGAGGAGAGCTTGAATGCCTGAATAAAACAATCACACACACCAGCAACCTCAGCGAGTGTTACTGGTCCCCATCTTGGTTTGACCACGGGCTGTAAAAAAAATACATTGTATATATGAGTCAGCCATGGTTGAGATGATTACAGTACTGTTAGGCCTTGACAGACAGCTGTTAGTGTGGTGGCGGTACCTTTTATAGTATCATCCCCGCCGAGGGGAATGACTCAGTCCATTGTGTCTGGGTGCAGCATCGTCAAAGTGCTGTCACTTCACCGAATGTCAAATGTTTCCCTTATGTGATACGCATGGTAATTACAATTCAAAAAAAAACATCTGCTCACTGTGTCATCAACAGTAGATGGAGACACTAATACAGCTTTAGAAACAAAAGGAAAGCCCCGAAAGCACAACCCTTTTTTTTTTTTTTTTTTTTTTTTAAGTGTCTGACAATAAAACATCAAATCAAACTGCCATAATTCTGTTAAATACGGTGAAATTTCTTAAGCGATAATGAACATCAGTTTATTCCGAGGACACTACGTCCAGCAGTTCCTCTGCTCTGTAAGCAAATATGTCCTCTTTAGTCCAAATAGATGAAAATGTGTCCTTTCGTGTCAGTTGGTTTCTCGTGCTGTAATCTTCACAACCTCCAAGAGAGATCAGATTCACTTCAGTGCTCGAGAAGAATAAGAATAATAATAATAATAATAATAAGAAGAAGTGCTTCCAACCAGGATGTGGAGTATTGATGTTGTGGTTATGGAGTAAGACATGCTGTACTGTATATCCCTTTTTTTTTCTTTTTTTTTTTTTGGTTGAGCGGAGCGAGAACATCCTAGCTGCCATCAAGTGAATACAAGTCATACCAGCACAGGAGCAGCCAGCAACAGCAACTATCATTGCACACAAAGCATTAATCCTTCACTTTAACAGCTTCATTCACAAATGATAATACAGGAAGAAGTTTTTCTTGATGTTACTTTGGAAGTGAAAACACTGAACAAAAAAGAAAAAATCTATTGAGCATCTTTGGGGATTCATCAAAGTTTTGTGGAAAATTTATAAATATGATTACAAGTCTTCATTAAATTTCTGATTTAAGTATAAAATATTAAATTGTAGTAATTGTTCTTACATAATTTACTTCCTTATTTTTTTCACCTTTCAATACATATATAATTTATCTGTCAACTGACACACACATATAAGCAAACACTGTACTGTAATGTAGAACCTCAAGCGCCTAAAATATCTTGACAAGACTCTTGCAAGATCCAAATGAGGCTGTTGAGGCCACAGTAATTATACTTCAAATTTTCCCTTAACAAACACGTGGTGCGCACAATAAAAAAAAAAAAAAAAAAAAAAAACTCAAAGTGACTAAAACTCCTGGATAAAAGGGATTCATCTATCTGAGCTCAAATTTATAAAACTTTTCATACTTTTGACATGTATAAGTTAGGACTTCAGTGTACAGGATACATTTGAACAAAATGTCTTCATTGATTGATTGTTACTATTACACAATATATCTAATATAATTAATCTTTAATAAATAAGATCAGATTTTTGTCCAGATAACATATCGTATCATATGTTTGTCTTTGTTCAGCAGCTGGACGTGTTTTCCCAGCGCTGTGGCCTCCTTGTGTTTTTATTATCTACTGATGTGTCCGCTTCCTTTGCCCCGCCCGACTGCGGCCGAGCAGAAGATGGATACGCAGTTTCAGTAGAGCCGACAGATGGAGAGAGAGGGACGGAGAGAGAGAGAGAAAGAGAGAGGGTGGGGGCTATGAGTCAGGGGTTTGTGGGCTGTGTGAAGATGGGAGGGTGGCGTTTCTATCCAGTGCCGTTCTTGTTGGGGGTGTTAGTGTTGATCGTGGTGCCGTCTGGCTGCTGGCCGTCTTTGCGAGGCGGCATCCTCTCGTTTATCCTGTCCAGGCCGCGCGCCTCCTCGAAGTTACGAATCTTCCTCGTAGGAGAGAAACCTTGAATGGCTGAAGCGAAGAAGAGACAAAATTACCAGAAGCCGGAAACACTTGAACGTCCCTACTCATGTTACTGCACATGTCTGCTGTAAAACACATTCTTTAGCTTTTTCTACAGTCCAGATCAAACTGGATTCTTTGTGGAGTTTCATTTGATAAGCACAAAACAACAATATCAGCCTAGCACAGTACGGATGATCAGTGAATACAACACATGCACAGGTAAACAATGACTTCTAGAGTTCACACACCAGTGGGACAAGCTACAACAAGAACACCTCACACTTTGTAAGACTTACGGTAACGTCCCGAAACAGCCAAGGAAACCAGACAGAAACGTGTGCAAACGAAAAGCAAATTTGTAAAGACTGTTCAAACACACTCTTCAGTCATTTACATTATCAGGTTAAACAGAGAATGAACACTCTGAGGGGAAGGTTTTAGAGGTGGAGTTACAGCCACACAAACAAGGTTCTACAGGGTTCTCTTGCACAACCAGATATCTGTAATAATTAAGCACCTGTGCTCACTTGAGTTAACTGCACTTTGAGTACGTGATCCCCAACCAGGAGAAGTTAAACCCCATGGGGTACTTCTGCAGTTACAAGGGAATACATAGTGAAGTGAAGTAATAACAGAAATTATGATTTGATCAGAGAAATATATCCACAATGGATACAAATAAGCCTTATACTGATCTATGGTAAATTTACTGTCACAAAAACCAGTAAGCTAGCAGCTATGCTGATGGCACAGAACCCTACAGCTATGTGAGGCGACTCAGTGTGCATGGAAACTAGTTAGCAAGTGAACATAGATGTCTAAATAGTTGAGACAGTTAGCTTACGTAATGGATATATGGTTGGAATAGTTAGATAAAGGCATATAAGTAATTTATACAATGTAGAAAATCATTAAAAATAATGACAAAATATTCTAAATAATTAGCCAAAGGAAATGGTTAAACAGCTGAAATAATTACCTATAATTAATGCTTAACTAAATGTAATGGAGTAAGTAATGGCTAAACAGTTCAAATAATGTTAAAATAATAGAGTTGAAATATCAACAAGTAATGAATAAGTAAAAGTTGAAATAATGAACTAAAAGTGATGGACAAAGCGCTAGAATGCTTCTTGACAAAACCAACCTAAACACTGACTATTCAGTGGTATGAAAAAATGTTGTTGGTATGAAAATATCCACTGTTATGTAGTGTTCCTTAACATCTACTTTGAATTGAACTGAAATCAGCACATTTGGATCATGATGGATCGAGTCTGTGACGGAGTATTTGAGCTCATATGACAGGAATGTGGCAGAACATCAGACAAAAAGAGCCTCCTCGCTCAGTTTGTGATGTTTCCTGCATTACACCACAATGGCTAAAACTGTTACATTTATAATGTTTCATAAAAAGACAGACAGTGTAGCTGCAGCCAAATGGTGTAACAGGATTAGCTTCTGAAAATATCCCAGGCAGGGATGTCCCTGGTCTTATCTTAGCCAGGTCTTAGCAGGCTTTTCTATGTGTGGGGAGCCACACTTGGCAAGACAAGCCTCTGTGACCACAGCCACTTGCTTCTTGTCAACAAGGGACAAGTCAGCTCCTAAATCTGATATACATAACTAACCCCTTTTGTAGCATGGGCTTCACTTTTGACACCAAAAAGCCTGATTCACGTGAGGCTGGTGAAAATAATTTAGTTTAAAAGTACATTTTTCATATACCATCTCATATAACTAGTAATTATCGTTGTACTAGTTGTCGTCTTATGTAAGCTTCTTTTCAGTTCCTGTCATGTGATTCTGTTACTGATTAACAACCATCAACCTGTAAATGTAAAGTGTTGCATAAACTATTTCACAATGACAGAACCAATGTGATCCAACAGATACTGATAATGCAAAAGCAACCCACACTCAAATAGTTTTACGATAATACAATAACCAGTGATATAAACACAGTGAGGAGAGTAAAAGAACATTTAATTTAAAGAAAAAAATTTAAGGGTGGGGCTGTTTAAAGGGTGAACAACACACACACACAAAACAAAGACATGAGAGTAGAGCCACACAGCCATGCGTACCTTTTGCTTTAGCTGCCTCAATCGTAGCTATGTTAATAAGAATTGAGGAAGGGGGAAAAAAAAAAAAATGAGTCATCAAAGGCAGCCAGAGACAGCAAACACAACAGTAATGTCAAACTGTAAAGGCTGGTGCAAGAAACAGTCGAAACAGATGGCAGAATATAGGTCAGCACTCAGGGCACAGGCATTATAGAAGCAAAATTTCTCAGCAGCTGTAAAAAAAAAAAAAAAAAAAAAAAAAAAACGTCATCAAAACAATAAAGTTAATGAGTGGGTGGGCGGGAAGGTTAGAGAGGAGAAGCCTGCTGGAGATTTAAGCTGGTGTTGGTGTTAAAGGGTCATGAGGACTTAAGTGTGGAGAGCTGAGGGGGGATTTGGCTGAGAACTAAGAGTCTAAGACCCGGGCCCAGATGCACAACAACGACCCGGCAGGACGACGCAGTTGTACAGTGCAGCCTCACATGAAGGAAAGTGCAGGCATTATTCTTAATGACTTCAGGCATGATTATTTAATTGGCACACACCAATTTTTTGTTTTTCAATTAATGCAGTTCACTTCTGAAAGGCAGCGATAGAAGAGTAAAATATTTATTTATAATTGAATTCCAGTGTTTTCTTGAGGCAACTGTATATAATCTTCAACCAATCTTCATCCAAAATGAGAAAAATGTCATGACCGCGAATTTAAAAATACTCAGTGGTGATTTTTTTACATGATTAATATTTCTCCTTTAAAAAGTATGTATTCAAATATGAGGAGATCCGAAATGCCAAGCAGCCATATTCACTTCTTATTGAAGCTGCATAAAATATTTGAATATTTGAATCTGTAAATGAAGACAATCATCTGAGAATGAAATATAATTTCTCAAAGAAATGATTACGTATTTAAGATGAAAGAGAGCTGCGTTAAGATCGCAGCCTACAGGTGCAAAATTGTAGCCGCAGCTAGTTTTCCCCTTCAGCTCTGCATCATGAGGCGTTTTGTCATTGGTGACACTTTAGGAAAATATTTCTAGCCGCTTCAAAGCCTCTTCCGAATCTTTAATGTCCTCAGACAAGGATTAACTTGTGGACTGGGTGCGTTCAAAGATGTATGAGCAGCACACCACCTAAAATGTCAGCTGTAGTACAGTAGTGTCAAAAACTGCAGCTGGGGCTGAGAAAAACAAAGTGAACAGTCAAGAAGGATGGACAAAAATACACAATGACTTGCCCCTGCCTTTGTTTGAGCTGGCCCGGCTGATCTGAGAACTGTGGCTAGGGGAGCGGACACGGAACATGACATTCTCCAAAAGGTCACAACATGTGGTTTCTCCTTCGATTGCTCCGCAGCTTCTGTAAGCCTCCAGTGTGGCAAAGCGTGACTCGCAGCATGTCCTCTGGCGGGCGAGGCCAGGCGCTGACCTTTAGATCAGAGGGTCAGTGCCCACTTTCAGGTGACAGGCCGACCTCCCCAACCAGCCAGCCCAACAGCTCAGCCTGAAAACTTTCTGCTGCATAGAGGGTGGGCTCCAGTCAAAGTCCAGCCAGTGCTTCCTGTGGTGGGCATGTCACCACTGATCTATAACCCTTCAAAGGGACAGGCAGGACAGGGAGGCTGGTCTCCCCTCACTGGAGGTCAGGATTGACAGATTTAGCTCCACCATCACGGATGGAGCAACCGATATTTGGTGACAATTAAAGGGAGTTCACTGTGCAAACAAAGCACGCTATTCCAGCCAAGTAAAAGAGACCAGAAAGAACAATAGCCTAATGTCCTGCACCAAACTGGTTACACTTCACATCAGTGATGACAGATAGAGAATCTGTTGCTGTATTACATCAGGAAGTCTTGGAGGAGAAACTTTGATCTCTGCTTCTTTTGGAATTGGATTTGTCTCTGTGTTTTTAACCCTGAAGAGTCGAGAGTCACATAAGGAGAACTTATAACTTAACAACTCATTGACTGCAAAAGATATGAAAGATATGAGCATGTCCTGTTATCAAACTGTAGCTGCACCAAAATACATTGAGATTTTTTGCAGGAATAAGAACAAATCTGTTAATTGTTATTTTGCTTTACACAATCGTAAAGGGTTTGACTATGAATTTTTTTTTTTGAAGTACAGTGATATTGACCTGTACTCTTCTACCATAAGCATTACTGAATATATCCACCACTCTTTAGCTTCTGTTCAAAGGATCAACATTTTTTGAAATACACTTATTTGCTCTATTATACAGAGTAAGATGAGAAAAAACAAAGCCTAAGTTTGTTTGGAAAACATGAGCTGGAGCTATTAGCTGGTTAGCTTAGCTTAGCATAGCATAGCATACAGACTAAAAACAGGGGGAACCAGCTGGCCTGGCAAACAAAATCCACCTGCAAGCTGGGAGCAGCTGTGAGGCAATCAGAAGAGACTTCAGAAAGTTACTGTTTCCAGCCAAGACAATGGAAAATGGAAAACTGTAGTTTTAACACTTTGCTTTTCGTACTGATTACACAGATGAGATGTAATGTGTTCATGAGCTTTAGAGATGCTTGTTGGTGAATTTTGTTGCCTTTGGACGGAGCCAAGCTGTTTCCAGTCTCTATCCTAACCTAAGCAGCTGCTGGCTCCAGGTCCATATTTGCTGTACAGACATGAGAGTGGCATCAATCAGCTCTCAGCTCTATGACTGTACACTGCCTGCAAATTGCAACCGTGTTTGCAAGGCAGCGGGTATGTCTAACGCAGGAAAAAGTGTTATATATAGCGTCACTGCTTTGCAGTTACTGAGCATCATGTGTATTTTCCTGTACTGATGTGCTTGTGGAGCAGTAGACCATGTAACACAGCCACATGTCATGAAGAAATGAAAAGATTTGCCCACAATAAATGCTCTGAGTTTAAAAAAAGAAACACACACTTGGTGACAGAGGGTACGGAAACATCCCTACAGGTGCAGGTTGTGTCAAAATGGTATATAGCGAGGAGGAATGAAAGAACAGGGTTATTGAATATGAAACACACTTACCGGTCTGTAAGGTCTGCTTCCCCCCTGACAACACTCCCATTGGAAGAGTTCCAGTCGGAGTCAGGCCTTTGAGTGTTAACACACTCTCACTTTCCTCCCTAGCGCACAAACAAAACACAGGCACAGAGAGAACACACACACACACACACACACACAAACACAAACACACACACAGATTACATTTCAGCTTGCAGGCCGATAGACACCTGGTGGTTATGAGGCTGCTCTGTCACCAAGAGGTCTTAAGTTCACTCATCACTCGATACCTAACCTGTGTCCACTCACTCCCTGCTTGACGGAGTGAAAGACTGTCAGCTCTAAATGCCAAATCGTTAACATTTGTCCTGGTTCTGTAAAGTGGGTCACCGATGACTTGTGTCAATTTTAGCAGCTGAAGCAACATTTCTAAGGATTGGTTACCAGTGGTCAGATTTATGTCAAAGGACTTTTATATTAACACATTTGAATTTCCATATTATTTATTTATTCTCTCCAACTGAATCAAAAGAAACAAGGGTTAAAAACTGAAATGAGACTTTTAAAATGCATCTAAACATCTACATTTCACATTGTAAACATCCTGCAAAGCAATGAGTTCATTTTAGAAGAAAGTCAAACTAGTTAAGAATTTATGAAAACATGTGTCTGACCATATTACATCTGGATTTTTCTTTTTTTTTTTTTTTTAAATGCATCTGTGTCTGAAACACCATTTTAAGCCATTGACCCATATGCTTTGGTGTGAACGACAGGCTGCTCTACATCTTGTCCACTTGCGGCAGTGTGACAAGCTCACAGCAGCAGCATTAATCTGGAATAATGCCTAATGTCATTATACAGTCTAGGTGCGTCGTGACTCATCCCATGCCAGCTCATTAATCCTAGCAGGGCAACATTGTGTTTTCAAACACAACTTCATTGTGCACTCAACTGACTCCATTCATTTCACTAACACTCCAGCCTCTTCCTGGCCCTGTGGTGACCTGCGATTCAATTTGCTGATTTTGACCCCCAGGCCACTGAGCTCATTGTGATCCCTATATACATGTCCAGTAGAAGAAGAAGAGTCTTATTGTAAGAAAGGAAGAGGAACATCAAAAGGAGAGTACTGATGACAGGGTCAGACCTGAGGACTGAGAAGACTCGGGCCATTTTCCCCACAGCACGAATCTTGTTTCGGATGACTTCCTTACGCATCGCTGAGGTGCCACCTGGAAATAGTCCAGAATGTGGGGTTAACACCAAGTTCACTGCCGAGAGTACGCAATACTATTGTTTCCATCCTCTGCTGCTGGTTTTCTCAGCATTTACTCAAAATGAACAATACGTTATAGAAAAGACTTGAGGGAAGGAAAAGGATGAAGGATGATACATTAGAGAGATGGGCTGAGGGTTTAATGGTGTGTTTCAAAGCATGGCGGCTATTCAGAACTCCCTCATCAACATCAGACATGTGGGACATAGACTGAATTATGATGAAGTGCTGCGTATAAATCACCTCCCGGCGTTCTATGTCAATTAAGTCTGTGTCAGGACTCATTTACAGTTCACCTAATTTAAGAAGTAAACTGAAAAAGCAGAGAGAACAAAAGCAGAGAGGATTCTGGAGAAAATCTACAACCCAAGCAGATGTGCAGACCAACTAGCCAATAACATATATTCTGTGCTGATTTACATCTTTAAATTTCAATAGTGTGAATAATTCCACACCTCCAGGATGGCAATATCAAAGAAACAGTATGCTTAGTATGTACACTGTACACCGAGACTCCAGACCTGAACCTACGCATTAATAACAACAAAGGTATTCACGCTAACTTTTGTAAAATCAAATCAGAATGCCACATTAAAATTACGAATTTCATTCAAACAGCAGGCACAGTGCTTAGTGCCAAGCAGTACAAAACAATAGGATTAACAACAGCCTGTACATATACCAAAATCAAGAGGGTGATCTCTCCTTACCTTCATATAGGTCATCTACCTCTGACATGAGCTCATCGTCAGAGCAGATGTTCAGTACATTCACCAGCATCTCCGTCACTGTGGAGAGAGAGAAGACACTTCAAGAATTCAGACTGGTGCCAAACCCATGTTTGAGGCAGGGTTTATATGACATTACATGACCTCCATTTAGAGATTTTCATAACAGGAGCAGAAACACTTCCACCAGCTAAATGTGATCACGCTTTACTGTCTTCTCCAAATATTAACTTAATCATTTCCTCAAGTTTAACAGGCAGCTATAGGAACCAAATACTTAAAAAAAACATACAAAAAAAAAAAACAGTGAACTTTTAGCTGGAAATATCTCCAGTATAAAAGGTCAAAATGATACAGTACAAATGATACATACAAATGTTTTTCTTAATAATGTGAATTTCTAGTTTTTTGGTTATCAAAGACTGCTATTTAGAATACAACACCTTCACTTTCAGTTGTGGTCATTTCCAAAGAGCACATTGGCATACCTTTCAAATTTAGTAAATGGGCCAACACATTAGTTAACTAGAATTACCACCTTGTAACTGCCAACTGATCAAGTTGCAGTTTACATCCATGTCTCTCCAGACTCATATATGTATTGAAGGCATTCAATAAAAAGGTATTAAGTATATTTTTTGATTTTTGATGTAGTGCTCTATAAATAAAATCAATTAAACTTGCTTTTATTAAGCTTTGTTGTTTTTATTCTGTATGAGTCATATTCCTTGTATATGTTCATATTTTTGGCCAATAAATCTGATTATGACAGAACATAAAGTTGTAGTCATGACAGTAGACACTGCTGCAAATATGATGTTGCTGTTTGTGTGAAATTTGCCATAATTAGCATATGAATTCTTGAGTTATGACCAAAGATGTTTTTTGTGAGGCCACGGTGGCCTTGAACTTTGACCACCAAAATCTAATCAGTTCCTCCTTGAGTGTAAGTGAACATTTGTGCCAGATTTGAAGCAATTCCCTCAAGGTGCTCCTGAGAATGGGACGGACAGATGGCCAGACACGCCTGCTGCTGGCGCAGAGGTATAACACAATCCTCAGCTCTTCAGTGATCATATAACTACATAAGTATTTTGTCATGTGTTCATCTGCATTAGTCTACTAGTTACGAGTTATAGCTGCAGATTGAATACCATGATGAAAAGTAGGACTGAATGATATGCAAAAAAAAATGAATATATATATATATATATATATATAAAAATGATGATGATTTGATTTTGCTGGGGCTTGTACCAAACAAACATGTTCCTTTACGTCTGGAGAGTATGATTTTCTCTGTAGCACCACAACACTTCATGCATGGTGTGTTGTGACACAACACACCATGCATGTTATGCGATTTGGATATTGCACTTGGCCATATTATGATTTCCATAATACTTTGATGATTTGGTTGCCGTAATGAAAAGCATAATTGAGCATTGACCATTCTAAAATTCACTCCTATTCCACGACTTAATGGAGAAGAAAATCTCAGTGTTTCTGGGTCAGCCTGCATCTGGATATCCCACAAAGTCAATGACAGCTCAGTAAACGGTTTTATTTCTGGCTTCCTATTCACAGTTTCCCCAATTACCCAACAAACATACCTTTCTCTCCAACAAAAGGCAAAGACCATGTGAAGACATCCATAAAGTTGGGCAACCAGTAAGGGTGGGGGGAGCAGTTGAACTGTCGGATGTTCATCACATTGTTCTCATATTTTAATACAGCAGCTAGGATTGACAGAGGGAAAGAGATGGGAGGAGAGATTCAGGGACTGAAGACTGGTAAAAATGAGAAAAATACAACGACAAGAGTGAGAAAAAAACAGAAACCTTTGTTGTTGTAGACATCTAGGTAATTTGGAGCTGAAAAGATTGTGATTAATGAAGGGAAGCCCGTGGTCTGGCTTTTTCTGTACATCCGATACCTGTACAGCCATAAATAAAAACACTCATCAAATGTGTTCTGTAATATGCTAGAAATAAACGAAAGAAACCCGACTTACCCTGCATCCTGTGCTTCATGGGCTCTTATTACTGAGAGCAAGTTATTATTTACCAAGAAGTCACAGACTGCTGAGTAACTGCAAAGAGAAAGAAACGCAGAGGAGAGAGAGCTGTTAAAACACTGAGTGCAGGTCAGAGCTGATTATGAACTTAAACCATTAAAAGGAACAGCATGAGGTCACTTAATGACCAATTCACTGACTGTTGTTTGTCTGTGGAAATAGTTTCATATTTATTTTCGGCATGCCATGCCCTCTGGCCTGCTGTGCTTGGGGTTTAAAGATGCCAGAGCCAGGACTGTAGTATTTATGAGCTCTGCTGGTCTCTCCAGAAGCTGAGGCCAGAGCAGAGGGAAGAAAGCAGGAGAGCAGAGGAGCTCAGCTGGGTGGGGGTACCTGAGTCTACTTCAACTGCCTTTCTTTCTTTCTTTCACCGCCCCCAACTAATTCACGGGTGATGCTTTGGAAAAATGAGTGGGCGATCAACATTTCATTTAATCAATACCAGGCAAAGATGAATGGTTTCTGACATTTATCACTTCAGTGGATTTCAGAGCAGGGCAGGATTTGTTTGTACCAGCTCTTTATAAATCCATTAGTTTCTGTGTAAAGTCCTTCCTGGGTTCTAACTACTAACTAGTCCAAATTAGTGATTCTCTAAATCAGGATGCATCATTAAAACTTAAGGACTGTCATTATCTGTAAATTAAAGAGTCAAGATCCAATTTAATTATCATTACGCACAAAATTACAGATGTAGTCCCTTCACGCTACTCACAAAAAACAAATGTTTCATTAATGACATGATAAATAATCTTGTCACAAAAATAAAACTGAATGATGAATTCAGTCGACTCAGAGCCTGAGGAAAGAAACTGCTCTAAAGTCTGGTGAAAGGACAGCAGATACTTCTGTAAAACTTGCTAGATGGCAGCAGGGTGAACAGGCTGTGGGTGAAGTGGGTATTGTCTTTTAGTATCCTCTGGGCTCTGCACAGGCACCTCACCTCACTGATATCAAATCAGCTCAGAGGAAACATCTGTCGCATGGTCTAATCAAATGTAACCAACTATGAACAGGAAGTCTCTGTGGCATCACAAGCTGTAACAACTTGGAGGAAGCCACATGATGTATTAAACCTAATGGCCAATACTTTTTAAGTGTAGGTATAACTTTGATTCATTCATATATACATACATAGAGAAATCAGTGTTTCAGAATTAGTGGTATGCAGTTTAAAGTTGGAGAGGTCTGATTATTTAAAGTTAACTGACATTATCTGCGGGTTCAGACTAACAACAAAACATTCTGCCATTTGAGGCGTCTAATGTTTTTAGTTATTTAATTATTATTACATTATTAAGAAGCATATTCATTTAATATTTAAAACTAAACACAAAGTACAGCTGATTAACCAAAGTACTGAAGAAGTGAAATTTTGATGCAATGATGAAAGGTTAAGAGATCATCAAAATTATTACAATTCATCCAACATGGACGCCTGAGCCACAATTCATGACAATCTATCCAATGTTCCATGAGATATTTCACTCCAAACCACCAGTGTCAACCTCGTGGTGGCACGTGAGGAAAATTCAGTAGGATTCATCTTCTGGATGAAAAAATGACAAAATTTCATGGCAATCCATCCAATAATTGTTAAGATATTTCAGTCTGAACCGACTCAGCGATACTGCCATCTCTAGAGCACTGCCGCTAGGGTGGCTAAAGATTAATTAACAACTAATCTCTACATAACAGGAAGTACAGCAACTGAATTCTTATTTAGTAATTCATAAATCTCCACTTTGTAACTAATATAGCTATGTTTAAACAGCTGATGTAACCAGCTCCAGGAAAACTGATCAAGTTCAGCTGAACTCAAGCAGACTCACAATGTTCAGTGTATTAGTGAAAATATTCCTCCTGATATTAACATGTTGCCATCCCGTTCTGTTTTTACTGTCTCAATGCTCTTTCCTGTTCTGCACCAGCAGTTTGCATCGCTCAACCTCAAAGAATTTCAAATAAGCTATTTTAAAGTGCTATTTAGTTATTTGTCAGCTCTCGACCATTTAACCTAATTTGTAAAAGCCAAATTTTATGCGTTAACCTATTTTCAACAAGCTGTTTTTATCTGTTAACCTGTTTTGAGAGGGCCTTTTTTCAAACTGCCCCAATAATCCGTTTGACCTACAAACAGTGAAGCTACCTCCACCGGCCTTTGTGATGAAGCCTATTTAATAACCTACTATCTTCTTCCAATATTTTTGTGTTTAACTGAGTCTGGTCAACAAAATATAAAAAAAACTGTCTACAATTTGATAAAAATCATTTCTTCATATTAATAATAAAGTGGTGAATTTGGTCTGTTCTGACAGTTTAGCATCAGTGAAGCTGCAGCAATTTTATCCAATACCTGAAAAAGTAAGAGCAGCCTCTGACGGAGTTATGGTTGAAGTGTTCAGATGTCTTTTCACTGCCGTAGTCCTCACCAGGGTCGGCCCAAATCAGGTCACACATTGGCCCAAATGCCGGAGGCTCTTTAAACCTGTCTAACTGTTGAACACAAAACACAGACACACACTGTATGGTTTAGACTGGCTTCTTACGTGAGGGAAACCACTGTGATAAAAAGGTAAATGGATTGCAGAGGCAATTTTAAACCAATATAACTTAATACATTGGATTTTAGTATAAAATTCATGTGTCAGTGGTCGATCACTTACTTTTCTTATGTCGTCTAGGCAGTTGATTTCTGGTGAGAGTCCGCCATGCACACACAGGAACTGTTGATTGAGCAGGGCAGCGAGGGGCAGGCAGTCAAAGGCCTCCATACAGGAATCATACACCCGTTCAGAGTATTTAATTTTACCTGCAGCAAACACATGGCGACAACACAAAACATGGTTCATTTTTGTAGCTCATAAGTATAATCTGTTATTCTTTTACAAAATAAAGCCACAATTGCCAAAAAGTCTGTTGCATGTGCTTAGTCAGGTGAAATCAACAAAGGTTTGTGAGAGGTGCTGAGAATCAGCAGCTCGGCTCCTCTGTCAACAGAAGGACTGATGATTGTTTCCAGGCCGTGTCTCCAGTGTCACTTGCACAACACTGCAGTTCAGATTAAGCCAGGAGGAAGTCGACTCCTTATACGGCAGGAGCAGCCAGGACACAGACAGGATGGGTCAATGTGGGGGGGTCAAGACATTACTAAGTGAGTGCTGCATTCAGGTCATGTAGAAAAGTCTGTAGAGTCAAGCTTTTTCAAGCTACTTGAAGTCAGCGAATTTAGTGATTTAACTACTTTATTAACTTTCTTAATCCGGACATCACCACCAAAACAGTAAAGTATCTGTAGCTACATGTCTGTACAGAATGATGTGAATAATGAAAACTCATCCAGACAAAACACTCATACAGCCCAGACTGTAAGTATTTATTACACATTTTTTGTTCTTCAGGTTCTGTGCTTCAGCATGTTCTATTTGAAATAAAATAATGGATACAACATTAAAGCGTCTCAGCTTTAATTTGAGCTGGTTCACATTAATACAGAAAGAACTGTGTGTGAAATATAGCCCCTTTAACACATAGTGACCAAAGTTTGGGGATTCAAAAGTAATTGGACAGATACACATGAGGTCAGACAAAATGATCATAATCTATTATTTTGTTGAAAATTCTTTCATCAGCAGATGTTTTGTATCTTCCCTGGTGGTGCTCTCCCACGCCTTCACAGCAGTCTCCTTTGGCTCTTGCTTATTGGGGTCTCTCTGCCTTTAGCTCTTTGGTTGCTATGGCCCTATGTTTAGGATTGTTGTCCTGCTGTATGATGAAATGTTCTGACTGGCTGACTCTGAGCACAGACTGCTCCTGTAGACCTCTGAATTCATCCTGTCGCTTCCATCGGCAGTCAAATCATCAATAAATACCAATGAGCCGGTTCCTGTCATACATGCCCAAGTCGTAACAGAACCACTGCCATGTTTGACGGATGAGCTTCCTCTTTTCATCATTTTTATAAATCTAAATCTCAATGGCAACTCAACTCTTAAGTGTCCAATTACTTCTGAACCTTTGTAAGTTAAATGCAATGTGTTAAGAGGACCATGTCCTCCACAGAGTTCTTTCAACACCAACTTAAACTTGCACAAATTAACGCTGAGACTTGGTACTCTAATGCAGAATCCATTATTTAATTCCAAATCAAATGTGCTGAAGCAGCTGTAGGGTGTGGTAGTAGTAGTGATCATGTTGCTGCTCCTCTTCTTTAAGATAGCCAGCCTCTACAGATCAGCATCCTGCTGCATAAACCAGTCAAAAGTAGCATATAAAAGTGAAATATTCACTGGGCGCAGCGGTGAGTGACTGAGTTCAAACACTGAGGTTGGAAAGATGCACAGGTTCACTGAGGTACGACGCTAATGATCATTAGCAAAGCATTGTAGAAAACATTCCGCTGCAGCTTCTCATTTTAGCCGGTACTGAGCGTCTATTTCGGTGGTTAAAATGACAAACGTCTCTGGTGATACGTCGTATCATCTGTTACTATTTAATGTTAATTCTGCCAGTAACTTGATGACAGGCCTGAATTAAACTTGGCTGTTGTTGCTTTGTGTGCTCTCTGCAGGCCAGTGTCAGCATTTGTGAGAGTGAGTCGTCTTCTTTCTAGTGGATCAAGTGTTTTCACTGTTGGGGAGCTCCCAACTAAACTAAGCTGATGGACTTAGTTTTTGAACAATGACCCCACACACACACACACACACACACACACACACACACACACACACACACACACACACACACACACACACACACACACACAGAAAGTTGTGATGTGCATTTTAAAAGTTTTCTATATGGACCAAACAAATACTTGATTAAGTGAGAAAACAATTAGCAGATATCGCCACTGAAAATTATTGATGCATCCAGAGCCTCGATCATGGAGTCTTTGAACAAATAAGAATGAACACTTGTTTGTGTTGACTCTTATATCATTTATGCATTTCTGTAGAGCAACAACTGGCTCAAACTAAAATTCTTGGGTTGAGGTGACACCATCTGAAACGGCACAATATCAAGAAGCAGAATGATTTGCACTGATCATGGTTCATTACATTCAGTAAATGAACTTGTTCAACTCTTCTCTCCTCCCACTGAATGTGATTTTGCAGCAGTGTAATGAAATAGGTGCAAGAGAGATGGGGAAGCCTAAACTCACAACAACGAGCTTTGTGCATCAACCAGGATGCATTTGAGCCATACTGCTTTATCTGCACATTTTGTTTACTCGTTTATATGCATGCTACTGACTGCTATCATTGCAATACATATACATATATTTCAGTCTGTAAGCATTACACCCTGCCCCAACAACAACCACCTAAACCACTGAAAGGTGGTACAGTGTGTAATAATACAGTCAGCGTGTGTGCGTGTGTGTGTGTGTAGATGAGGTGGCACTTGGGTGGGAGTGTTGTGGGGATGTAGTGAGTGACATCTATTTGCAGCTGGCAAGTTTGTCTTTGCTGTCTGCCAAAGTGTCTTTGTTTCGAGTTTGCACCTGCTTCACACACACATGCGCAAATACACACACACAGACAGATCCACACACTCAACTGTCACAGATTGAAATCAGTGTGTGTGTGTGTGTGTGTGTGTGTGTAGCTGTCTGAGAAGCATCAACAGCATGCCTGGCTGCTCTCCATGCTCCAGCAGCTCGATGTCTGCAACATGAAAAGGAAAAGGCTTCATCTCCTCTGTGGAGTGATGCTGATGTGCTGCCACATTTTCTGACGGGACTTCCTGATCTAACACACACTCTCTGACAAACCTAACCTACTTGTGGGAAAGTTTGTCATGTTATTAAGGGGAGTCAGTCATCTCATAGTTACTGCTCTTCTTGCAAAAGCTGCCAAAAGCTACAAACTACATCTCTGGCATGGAACTCAATCTGATTTGTCTGAAACCTGATTGATACAGGCCAGTCTGAAGTGGTGCAGGGAGCATCGTCTTCATATGGCTGAGAGAAGCGCTGCACTTACATTCCTGTTTGAAGGTGAAGTACTCTGTCAGGTGTCGGCACTCATGGTTCCCACGCAGGAGGAAGAGTGTGTTGGGGTGGTTGATCTTGAGCGACCAGAGGTAGAGAACACACTGCGAGGACAGACAGTGACAGGGAAAATGTGGGAAGAGGTGGGAGAGAAGAGAGAGAGTCGGAGATGTGAACTTACGATTACACACAGACCTGGAAAATCTAAGCTTGAAGAGGGCTTGTATAAATAATGAGTATTCAACCAGCATTCAATCAGCTGTGGACTGCTCTCTGCTCATTAATACCACATCTCACTACAGAGGATGTGAGCATACCTGTCTCAGTTACCTCCTTGCTTATATTATTATCACACACCAGATAATTTTCACTATTGATTAATCAACCAATTCCCGAGGTGACCTGTTTCAATGTCTTGTTCTGTCAAAAACTCAAAGATATTCAGTTATAAAAACAGAGAGAAGCAGTAAATTCTCACTTTGGAGAAACTGCAATCAAGTTTCTTCTTGAAAAATTCCTCAAACAATTGATTGATTATCAAAATAGTTCCTGATTAGTAGGATTGAATGAAAAAAAAAAAAAAAATCACACTGTGATTATTTTGGCAGATTTTGCGCTATGAGTCACAATTACAGTTGGAATGGTCATTTTTGCATTTCATTTTCACTGGAAAAAAAAAATGTTGCAGCTTGTACAAAACAAGCACCACCTTTACATCTGGAGAATATGATTTTTAGCCCAGGGCACCAAAATGCTTCATTTATGGTATGTTGTGACACATTTTACCTTTATCAAAAAAAATTGCAGCTCTTGCAATTTGGATATTGCACATAATTATATTGCAATTTTGATAATATTTCAATTAATTGTTGAGCCCTCAGGATTAGTTTTCTGTCAGACTAATCTATAAATCAACGTATTGTTTCAGCTTTATCACACACCTCGAGTTTTTCTACCATCACTCATTATAACTTAGGCAGAATGTGGCCAAAGTAAATTTTGCAACCACATTCCAGTGTGAAGACAGCCGTCTGAAGTAGAATTACCAACGAGCAGTAGATTTATTTGAAGGTGTTACCACACTCCAGTAGATTTGCCCACTAAAAACCCAGTGCAATGTGTTTTAGGGCTGCACTGTTCAGATTATAGCAGAAGACTGACAATAACAGGCTTCAAATGACACAAAAAATACTCCCACACACTCGTCTCTGCTTTATTTGTGTGTGTTTCAGTCAGACAGTGACCTTGATCAAGACAAGTTAACCTCACTGCAGGTTTTGCTTCATACTGCAGTAAAAATCTACAGGAGGTTTAAATAAAATGCAATGAAATGTAATATAGAAATCCACTCAGACTGAGCCATCAGGGGCTCTGTGCACAGGTTAGATAACTGTGGAGCTCCACAGACTGATTAGTTTCTCCTTCACAAACTCATCTCATACGAGAAGCACTGGGATGTTTTCCTCTGGCCATATTAGAGGCTTTAATTTAAAAAAAAAAAAAAAAAAGACACACTGTGAAAAGCAGACCAGCATTTACAATCCAAATTAACTTGCTTTCTTTTCACAGCTCACACAAGGCACTGCGCAATAGCTGCCACTTGCCACTCTCAGCCCACTCTTTTAACATGCACCAACCATGGCCATCTATTAAGTCCCTGGAACAAGATACCAAGGTAACCGCAGCCAGCAAGTCTGTATTCACATAACTGACAACGTTAAAAAAAAAAAAAAAGAGTGGGGGAGGCAGGACGACCAACTCTTGTTCACTTCAATGTTGGGAGGAACATTGAAGTGTGAAGTGTAGGTAAATGTGTAGAAAGGGGCTGTCGGTGTGACTTGCTCTCTCATGTGCGGAGGCGGAGAAAGGGACATGGCGTGGAGTGGAGTGGAGTGGCTGGAAGCTGACATGGGTTTTAATGAGAGCCCTCTGCTCTCTTTTAGCAAGCCTCTGTGTGTTTGAGCCTCAAGTGGGGGAGGCAGACAAAGGAAACGGCACAAAGCTTTGTGTGACAGACGTGAACACTGGCTAACTTCACCTCAAGCCCAGGCACACGCACAAACACACACATATGTAGACAGATGCACACACACTTCAGTCTGTGCCTGGTGTGTATGGGGGCTTGGCAGGTGGTATAGGAGGGTTAGTACAAACACACAAACATATGCGCGCGCGCACACACACACACGCACACAGATCAAAGAGAGATTTCTAAGTAAATAAAGAAGCTCAGAGAATGAAACTGATTGCTCACATGCACTGAATTTAGTCTTTGACAAATTGCTGGACTGCAAGGGTAATACGCCACCTCCAGAGGCTACACTGACTCTTTATGTTGCCAAGGTAACCACATCCTGATTTCCATTTCCCTATATCTGTGTTATGTTTTACTGGAATGAGCTCTGTGGGAAGAGAATTTTCAGCCCTGCTAGTGAGAGCTGGGGCTTTTTGGTTCTTTAATTTTGTGGCGACTTTACATTAGCAAAACAGACAAAGCTGCTCCCAGAAATTCAAGGTGGCATTTTCAAATTCCACCATCTGTCCAGAACCTACAGACTTTTCTATCATTATTATCCATGACAAAGAAAAGTAGCAAATCATCACATTTTAAAAGCTGGAACGTTTGTGATTAGTTCAATGATCGACAAATGGTTTAATAGACTAATAGAGTAATTGTTTCAGCTTTCAACCAATCAAAAGAACTTCATCAACAGTGCTAATAACACATGTTAAACAGAAAAAAGTCAGCCAATGCCAAAAGGTACTCCTAAAAAAGAAAAAAATAACCAGATAGCCCTATTCACAGGCTAAATGGCCAATCCCTAAAGGTTCCATGACTTTTAATTTCATAGATTTTCAAGTTGAGAAGAGATAATTCACCTCTTTCACGTTGGCAGTGTTTAAAGTGCCACTTTTCTATAGGAACACATGGGAAAATAAGCACAGTGCTGATGCCTGAGTTCTTCAGTGAACACAAACTCTAAATTGGATGTCAGTCTTCGTTCCCTATGCTGTTTCAGTCTCCTCCTTTCATCTGTGACATTTCACCCACCTCATTGTACAACCCAGGGTCCATCAAAAGCCCCCACAGGGTGGTCAAAATGTTACCATACTCCCCCACATACAACCGACTCCACACCATCCTCATGAAACACCCTTTATTCCCAGTTTCTCCTTTACAAATACTGAACATGAGAAGTGTTGTCTTCAGGATGTTACTAATAGATAATTAACTAAAGGACAGCAGATGAATCAGGACTGCCTAAGGCAAAAAAAACTGTTGCAAGCAACTGCCTTTTGCACCATTGCAACTATAAAAAAACAAAACAAAAAAAAAAACATCCATTTATCGTCTCACTTGAAACGAGAGCTGTACAGTTTTAGCATTGCGCTATAACCTGTAACATTGACAGATTCATAATGGACAGACAGAGAAGATCGAAATCAGCGCAGCGGAATCAGAGATAACACCTTTTTTATTCCACAGATTCTTCTTTCTTGTCAAAAGCTGGTGCCTACATTTCCCACATTGCAACCCAACCACCAATAGTGTCGTCAGGTAATCGGGTGAGGTATGCTAGCAGTGACTAATGTAGCCTGGAGTTGCTGGCCTCAAGCAGAGATGAGGAGCAGGCTGCAGAGGTCTGGTAAGATCACTTATTTCTAACTCCACACCCTCAGATTATTTTCATTTTCAAACTTCAGTCCTCAGCCCCAACCGATCTTGACTCAAGTGACATCACTTGAGGCACGTCACTGAGACTTCGCAGAACTCCCTCTGGAGACACTAAAGGCTTTATACAGGCTTTATCCCCCTTAAAATACCATTCTGTACTTCTGTACTGCACTGCAGTGTACACTACCAGGCCTCCTGCTCCACTCTCAGATCACATCCTTTGAAATACATATAGGACAATTTTGAGTGTGATGTGTGTTGAAGAATATTGACGTTGAGTCATAACCAACAAATGAAACAGCAAATGATACTGAACCTCACTGTGGGTCAGAATATGTGACTGAGAGTCTTGAGGTTCACGCTGCTCCCACAAAGTACTCACTCATTTTTACTCATCTAAATCAAGACCAAGACTCTTTCATGTCATTTAGCCCAATTTCCGGCAATTCTTTTGTCAACATGTTGATAACTTATTCACATCTTATTACTAAATTTTTCTCTTTTGACTAACTGATTCTAATGATCTATCCTGTTTACAGCTAACAGCTATCCTGTTTCATGCTCACAGCGATACACAACCAAAAACAATGTTTTGATCTAACCTACCAAACCACTGCAAGAGTATGACTGTAAGGAATATACCAATGCAGGATGACAGCAGAGATGATTGTACAGCAGCAGTGTCTTCTAAGGATGTTTTGATAGCGTTTTATCCATGAAAGCAGTTACCATTGTAACTGCCATGAATCCAAGCTTAGTATGGCCATCCCCTTCGTGTGCCTCTGTCTTATTTTTAACTGTTCCACTCAGCATGTATGAACTTTGCCCTTTGGATTTGTGCTGAAATACAATTTCAGCCAGCAGGATGTATTTGGTTAAGGTCCTCAAAGTAGCAGCACTTAAGTTTTAGTAGCTATTCTGACCATTGGTCACCATGTTAACCATCCTGAGAAATCATTTGGGACACACCACCATCCAGTTTGTCTTCATTACATCATCTCCTTTCTATTTAAGTTTCAACCAACGGTCTAAATTCACATGCAGAACACTAGGATACAAGGAGCAGAGTGTCAGGAGTCACACAAGTACAGTTTAAACATGAGGTGAAGGTAAAAATAAAGATGGATTATTAACCCATCACACACTAATACTGAGGGGTTGTAACAATACACTGAAACACATCGTATCGCTCAATGTACAATACTGAAAGTTACCATTGTGACACAATTCAGTGCCACACACTATTAGACATGAAGAAGGAAACACTAATCTTTGAACTAAACCTAAACACATAATCTGTTACTGTGCTACGTATTACAGTATCCTCACTGACAACAGAATGCAAATGTAAACTGGCACTGTCACAATACAAACCAAATGGTTTTTAAATCTAATATGAAAAAACGCCATAAAATATGAGGAGGAAACAACTTACCTCAATACTGAAGTATCCTCGATCTACGTAGTCACCGAGGAAGAGATACCGTGTGTTACTGGGTGATCCCCCCACTTCAAATAACTTCATAAGGTCAAAGAATTGTCCATGGACATCACCACATACTGTCGAAAGACAAACGCATTGCTGTTAGTAGCTCATATAACAATTACAACAAGTCATTGGGATGTTTTCAAAAGTTGTTTTTCAGTCTGGATATACAATATGTTTCTTTTTACTTATTTTAAAACCAGCCATAACCAAAAAGAAACAAGAGGAAGCCCACATTTTTTTACATTTTCCATTCAAGGTTAAATCTTATTTTTCTTATCAAATCAGGATCTGATTCAGTAACCATTACACAAACTGTATATTATAACATCCATCTGCTATAAGTTGAAATATAGACAACACAGATGCGTTTTAAATGTTATAATAAGAGAAACAGAATAATATTTGTTATTTCAGTAAATATTGTGATATGGAACTAACCACAGCAAAAGTTTTTATTAAACTGTTTCGTCAAACTGGACGATAGTTTTCTGACAAATATCTAAAAATCAATATCATTGATACTGAGGAGACAAATGTAACAATTTTACATAATATCTAAAGTGTGTTTACTGTTGTCAATTATGAGTGAAATTATCAATAATACCAATCATATTAAAAACATTAACAGTGGTAGCATTTACCATTTTTTATTTCAATCACGGCAGAGGAGAGTTTTGTGAGAGGAGTTTTGATTTGATTCAATCAGATTACTTTAATGCTGATTATTACTGAAGCCACAACAATGTACAAATTAATTCAATGTATCAATAAACAGTTTAGACACATAGACGTAAAGACTGAATGGTTGCACCTACACTAAGCACTAAGAAATGCTATACACAAGTATGGCAAATATTTTCAACACTGGTGTCAGACATGTGTAGATGGGAGCATTTATGCTTGTGTGGAATGTGCAATCAATATTACCTGTATTATTACACAATATCTGAACTGTAAATACTTTTCAGTGTTAGGAAAGTTCATACAACAACAATTAGCATCCTCATATTATTATCTCTGTTAACTAGCAACTGTTAGCTGTAAAGCTTGTGCTGACAACTGTAATCAGCCACATAACCATACAAAACATAAGAAATAAAGGCCGAGTTTCAAGTGCCATCTCTACTATTGATGATGACAGCACTACAGCAGGAGGTGACATTTTCATTTTCATGCCCAGTTCCCACTTGTCCAAAACACAGTAATGATATTTCTTTCTTTAAGATAAATTAATTAGAAAATTATATTCTCCTGTGAACAAGTTTCTGAGTATGTTTTGATTGAGGATGTTGGACTGAGGCCATGATGAACTGAGATGACTGAGTTGATTCTAACAGCCTGCAAGGCCCCTGGATATGGCACAGAAGCGGGCAGATGGCAGCTGCCGGCATACAAAAACAGTGTTGCAATGGAATAATGCCTAGGTTGATGCTGTGTTTACTCTGTGTTCACAACACTTTCTACGCTGTCTTGGAAGGTAGTGTTTCAAACTACTTGTCAGGCCAGGAATGGAGGAATCTCGACTGGACCATCCTGCACGGGAGATCGCACAAAGTATTTGTATATACTTTTTAAGCCATCTCTGTTTCCAAGCAACAGCAAGAGAACAGCACTGCTACTAGAAATGTAGTGTCTTGCTTAAAGACACAGCACAGGTGGATGGACAATATTGTAGGAAGTTTGAACTCAGAATGCCCATGTGAGGGAAGGTCTCCCTGTTTGTTTTGTTACCACACAAACCCACACCTGAAAATAATGAAATGTACTGATCTGTCCAATAAATGACAGGATTCCCTCTGAGCTCTTCACGTGCATCTGCCAGCCTACCTGTTATAGGCGCCTCCACTTCCAACATGCACTTCTCTTGGCGGAGGATGTTGGCCCCATCGTTAATGATCTTCAGAGCCACGTCCTCTTCAACCCTGCCCTCTTTGACGAGGTGGTTGCGGAGCAGCTCCGCGTTGGGCTTTCCATCTTCAAATAGCTCTTTAATAGTCAACTTATGTTGTGGAGGGTATGGCACAGCTGGAAAAGAAAAAAAAAAGCAACATCGTCTGATATGATAACGGGTTAGAGCAAAGGTTTTCAAACTGTGAGGCCCCCCTGGAAAGGAGAGGGAGAGTTTGTGACAGTGTAGAGAGAGATGTGAGGGATGAGCCACAGCCTGCATCAAAATTCATACTTTTTGGAGTCACGATTCAGTCAAATCTGCACACACAGACATGATATACATACAGTATTTATAACATATTTGATTCTGTTTGACTTAGACTTTGTGAGACTATCATTATCTCTGATGTGCACCATGAATAAACATCCATTAATCCACTTAAAATCTGAAAAAATACACTTCCACTTCAGAACTTCCCAGAGAATCGTCATGTTTTAGATTTTCTCCAGTATTTAAATAATCCAGAAATAGCTGTCTGTACATCCATGGATACTGAGCAAACAGGAACTACCAATAGTTCATTCTGCATACTTTTAGTGGTGCTAATATAGGCTAAAAAACAGGGCTCAGGTTGGAGCTCACAATAATAGACTCCCTGGTAACCTGTATACATCAAAGCCCATAAAATCTGGGCACTGTAGTAGGCACTGTAACATTAAGATTATTTCCCCAAATAAAAGAGGAAAATAATACTAATCAGTTACAAAATCCATTAATATTAAGTTTTTCCATGTTGTACTTCTGACAGTACTAAGGCTCAGAATGTCAATATGCATCTGATATAGCTGTTGCACTAACACTGTCCATTCATAGTAGCATGCCAATCAGCCAAATGTCAACATATTCACATGATGATTAGATGAAGTGCATCTCTGCAAGAAAGATTTTAATTTCATACCAGTAAAATATAAAAGGCTATGACCCCTGAAACAAACTTGGAGAATTTGCTGCATTTAATTAAGTTGTAATCACGACCGCTGACATTTGCATTGACTGAGCCAATATGAAATTACTGGCACAGGAGGAGGGATGCATACACCTACATAATGCCATGCGAGAGATGCGCAAGACAGTAAGAAGCCCCGCACCTCACTTGACCCACCCTCCCTCAGTAATCTGCTCCACACCACCTACACAATCCTTTTACCGTCACCAGAAAGGTCAGAGCTTTTCGAGGCTGAGACCTGAGAGCTTCATGATCAAAACACTGTCAAGTGTGCAACAAGTAAAACTGCAAAATTTATCAGTCTAATAGAGGATGCAGCAGTAGAAGAGAGGTGCAGTGAAAACATTAGTTTACTGTGAATACAGCAACTACAGATGAAATGAGGAACACTGTGCCTTTTCATACAAACTCACCACACATAATTAGAAAAGCATCACTTGTCCTAAATGGCACATTAGTGCAGTTAATGATAGGATGCAAGATTTTATAAATATCACAAACAAAAATGCTAAAACTTAACTTTGTACCAAAGTGTCTGTGCAGATCAGTACTGCGACACTGGCAGCAGCGTCATCAGGTCATAAAACTCCAGGAGCAGATAGTTGCCGACTAAGCTGCGCTTGTTCAAAACAATAGTAGAGTGTGATCCAAGCCCTCTCACTTACAGGGCCAGTGAGGTAAAAGGGATTACAGCTGATATGCCTAATAACAGGCCAGGCACACACCGAATACAGTATGGCACAAATGAAATATGGTGGAAAGCTACATCACTGTTTGTAAGGCATCCTAAAACAATAAAACAGAAAAAATATAATAATATAAGATGAAAAATGACTGCCTTTGTGCAGCTAAACAGAAAGAAAACTTCACCAGAGGACACACTTGTGCAGATGGTTTCATCTTGGATTCCTGATATCGTTCAAATCCATTCACAGGTCAGTGCACAGGATACCCTGTGGCATTAAATCTGACTCAAGTACTTATATCAGCTCCTGTAGATCAGCAGTACTTGTGTGATAAGTGGTTCGGTGGCAATGAACAATAAATGAGAGAGAGGCAGTCTGAGAGTGTTGTCACACCCACACAGAGCAAATCAAAGTGCACTATGAAAAAAAGCGTTAATGAGTTTTTAGTGTGGGTGTGTTTGCTACTCAGTGATGCGATGCCTGAGTGCAGAGGTAGCCTAATGTATTTCTCACTCGGGATTGTACAGACATCTGGACTTGAGGAATATATTACAGTCTTCTGATATTTGACACTGTGTTTTATTGCTGGTGCAATAAAAAAAAAAAAGGCTGTGAAAGTGGTGCTGCAGGTGCTGTTTGACTCAGTGTAGGAGAGGAAGGTAACTGATGTTAGTTAGGCCACAGACTAGTCCGGCCTGCAGTGGAAAGGCTAGAGCACAGCTCCAACTTGGCTAGCCTGTGCTGAGAACAAGCTGTCATGCGTTGACCAGTGTGGTATAAATAAACAGTAAGTGCTCCCAGGCCTACGAGGCATGGCTGCGGAGAGAGCTGTAAGGTGAGGTATGAGCCTTAAGAACAGATTAGGTAAAGCCTCTATTAGCAAGGGCTTCCAGATTCAGGGGCTGTTTACTTAAAGGCCTCATCACATTGAAGGAAGGCTCCAGTACGAACAAAGCTCCATGAAAACATTATGACACAGAATAGAATACATAATGGGCATGAGTTAGACCTTGAAACATTTTGTGGAAAAAGCCATGCTGACCAAATTTAACTGACCTGAAGGCTGGCAGTAATTACATATGCTGCACAATAATAGCTGGTCTAAAAGCCAAAGAACTGAACACTCCATTTACTTCAACAGGAATGATCCCCCTGCCGCCTCAATAATAATAATACTAACAATAATAATAAATTCTGGGTCATTCTGCTTGTACAGTCAACGCTGGATCGGTCTGTTCAAACACAGATAGTAATGAATCTCTGGCATCACTCAATCCAAACAGACAACACTGTGAGCAGAAAGAAAACCACAGTGCAGACAAAGTGACTCGTTTTTTTCCAACACATAACCCAATGAAAAAAAATGTTTTGTTATAAGCAAAAAGCTGCCACAACCATGAGACTGGCTTCTTATTAGAGCCTGCCTGGTCTAATTAGCATTAATGTTTGATGAACTCTTCAAAACCACAGGCACACAGTGCTGCACTGCATCAACACCCACACTGTCTGGCATGACAACAAACGACTCAAGAAACAAAGACACTACTATCTACCATCCTGCCCACCGAGGATAATGTTTTGGACAGTGATATGAGCCAGCGTCTAGAATATTTTCGCTATTGTTTCAAAATCAACACAATGGGGCAGGATTGAATTACAAAGATGCGGCTGGGTAGAGATGAATGGAGCAGACTGTGGCTGGATGAATCATGAAGTCCACTTCAGATTGCTCTAATTATCAGTGAATGCATTACCCTCGCAAGCTAAATGGCCAGGCCTCAGGTTTATTTGTCATCTCTGTCAGTCAATCGTGTGGTGTGGTAGTACAGGCATATACTCCCCTCTGGCCTCTCTTTGATTTTACTTCAGACACAGGGGGTTGGCTTTAAAACACGGCAACAATCCAGTTCAATTTATATCAAAAGATGACATGAATCTTTGTCACAAGCAACAACGGTTTCAAAAACCAAGTGTAGCTCAGCCAAGTCTTCACTAAGTACCCGTGGCACCATACACCTATTAGTCTGCAGTGTAATCACACAGGGAGGAAACATCAGATCAAATGACCAAAATGACTGAGCTACTAGGTCAACTGCAATACTCAGCAGCTTAACTGTTGACTTACACAACCAGAGCAGCATTAGTCTTAGGCAGTCTACCAGTTAAGCCCTCTTATAGTCACCAGTTACACTGGAAACATCACTGCAGCATACACCAAGCTTCATCCTATAAGGATTTTGAAGGGCTCACATGTTGTAACTAAATCTTTGGTGATATTTACACTTTCATTTTGGTATAGTTTGGAGTTGCAACCTAAAGCAGGGTTGTCTTTACCCCAGTCTACATTTCTTCTGTCTTGTCTCCTGCCACATTCTTATTCTCTCTCCACCATGTGGCTGGCCATGTTGGGAACATCACTAGGGAGATTCTTTCCACAATTAACTCACCCTCTACCCACTGGCTCACACTTCAGCATTCCAGTCCCCTGGCAGGACACTCTTCCAGTGCCCTTGCAGACAGACAGAGATGTGGGCTGCATTGGCATTAAGTAGTAGTGGTGGATGGCAGGGGTGGGGTTGAGTTCTCTCTCTCGGGAAGCTACCTCCGACTTGGCTGTGCCTGTTCTGTCTCGGGTAGACACAACAAATGGTGTCCTGTATGTCGAATGAGCCACGACCTCAGTGTGAAGGAATCCATCTTGTCAAGCTCTGCTGGTAACCTGAGCAGACTGTGGGTATCCCTGTGAGTGAGCAACTGCCTCATGAATTAAGATTTCATCCATCCTAAATGTCAAGGAGATTGGGCACCCATATAGGACAAACTTCTCGCCTTTGATCTCTGCTGCTGAGTGGTGGTGTATTTCATATACCAGGACAACTATGGAGATGATACCTTTATAAAGTTCTATCCTTAGCAACCACAAAAAACAGATTCAACCTCATCCACAGGTAACTGAGCATCTCCTGGTAAAGGGGAATTGCTTTGAAGCCCCCACAGATCTGACTATTGTAGAGAACACACACAAAAAAGGTAATTAAATATATACAACTTTTGTTATATGTGTATATACTGTTCTGATATATTTTCCACACTCGCCTGCTCGAGAGGAAAGGATTTAGACAAAGTTATTCTCAACTCTACAGGTGGCTTTCAATTCATGTGTTAGCTATCTGTCAGAGGATTTAGGATGCGAGCACTGTACCGATCCAACACTCACCTTTTATCAGCCGCTCTGTTGTGGACTGTTTCTCTTGTTTTTCTTTGTCTTTTCCTGACATCTTTGCTTCGACTGGAGGCTAATTTCGAGGTTAAAATCTTGTACAGCTCTCTTTGCCAGCTAGCCTGAGGACAAGCTAGCACCTTAGTCTGGCCGTCAGCTCCGTCTTGACTTACGGTTGGGGTCGGAGGCACTAGTTTTAGGGTCTGCTCTTACCAACAAACACTGGAGAATAGCTAGCGAAGGAGCTCCAGTCCTTCTTGTGGTACGACTAGCTAATAACCTAGCTATCTTGCAGCAACATTAATGCCAGCGAATACTTAAAGCACAAAGTAGTAATCTTGACACTGTTGTAGAAATGTGATAAAAACAAAAATAAACAGAGGCGACCGTTTGCTGTGTAACAGTTGTCAAGTATAGCAAATAATACCTGGATGTTACCTAAAGGGAGGTTGCTGTTAGCAGCTAATCCGATTTAGTTGCTCTTTTTCAGCTAGTTAGCCAGCTAACATCTTAACGTATTGGCAAGTCGGCGGACAGGCAAAGACAGCAACGGAAGACTGGCGTTTCATCTTCTATGTACAGGCCGGAAACTGCAGACGAAATGACAGCAGCAAGTAAAGGCGCCTTTATTTAGTAGAACAAACACCGAGAGTCTTTCCAAGATGCGGACAGCGTCTTGACAGTGTATCCTCCTCCTCGGATTAAACTCTAATCTGACAGTGAGTGAGAACCAGCTGTGGATTTCCTACAACATGGTGGAGCCGATGTGACGTGACTATGGAAACGTAACACGTGGGCTAGGGGTGTGTTCAAAAACACAAACCTCACAGTGACTAGTGGGTCCCTGGTGGTGGTGGCTGCATATGAGTGAACATAAAAGATGGCAAATACCCGTAAATACTGCTGCACTGGAGATAAGGCTTCTAAAGCAAGAGTTGAATATGTCAGTGTACATATTATTAGATTTGATAATCATTGTTAAACAATTTCCTAACTGCATATGAACGTTTCATTACTTTTTTTCTGTTTTAACCCAACCCAGTTCATTTTCAAGTTTTAATAAATAAGCATAGAGAAAAATAATGATGTTTAACTCGATTGATTCGACCAATCCAATCAAAAACTGACATCTGAAGATGAATAAATAATATTCTCTAAGTGGCTTGTTTACAGGCTATAAAGGCAGCCACAGGAAACGCCCATTCTCAAACAATGCCACTGTTGAGGTGGGTGGGTCTGCAGATGATAATGATGATAACGGCTTGGAAAAGTACTTCAGAAGATGCATAGTTGCTTAATTTGAATTAATATATAATTCAGTGGATTTACAAGTAACATCAAGACTCAGATGGGTCACTGGTAGTTTTACCTGAGGCAAACTTTCAATTTTCAGCCTTTTAAATGGGGCTTGGGTGCATTCAAAACCGCAAGTTGTTTCCACAGTTAATGTTGGGTCTTCACTACATTGATATAGTCATATTCCAGCAGATAGCCATAACTGTAACTGTTATCATACTTATTATCAATTAAATCCAAATATAATTTTACAAGGTGAGATGATTAAAATCAAACAGGAGAGAAACTCCAGATTAATAAATTACTCAAGGACTTTGCACTCCTTTCCATTTTGTAAAGTATATATAAAGTCCTGGAAACATTGCAAAGTTACTAATTTGACAGTTGTCCTATTAACTAAGTATACCCACCATCTTGCACTGTTAACATTAGATATAGAGTAGAGATAAATTTATAGATGTATTGATATGATGAATAATACAACTGTCTTCACAGTGTAAGAGATGCCCAGCAACCTTTTACAGCTCAGGGCACTGTGAAATGATTTTCAGGTTTGTTTCCCCAGCAACAGTGGGACATTTAATTCATTACCAGCCTAGAAACACTAGGTGGCTGTCTTGTTTCATTTTCGAACAGGTTGCTGCTCAGTGCAACCCATTGTGTGAAACAAGCCTACCGGAGACTACTGACACATTAAGTGAGAAGATAGTCAGATATCTTCACTGTGTAATAATAAAACAACTGGACAGAAACAGATACAAAAATTTGAGATTTATTTAACTGGAAAATAGCATTAAATTCCACTTAAACATTCATTATAAGTAAATACCTACAACATTACACTGAAAATATCACCAACCACATATAAAACCATGGATACAGTGGATCAGTTCAAATGTAAAAAGCAGCTCAACAGCTAAAAAAAAAAAAGAAGTACTGAAGAGGAGTCTTCAGACTGAACACAAAGAGCAAAGGCCATGCACAAAAGAATTATCAATTGTTAGTTGTTAGAAATGCTGGTTCAACAAGACATCGATGCTTTAGCTTCTGCTTCTTCTGTAGTTTTGCCTGCTGGTAAGTATGCTTTGTCCATTCTATGGTCCACTTCTTTGCCCTTTAGTGAAGTACTATTACCAAGATATGACAAAACATTTCGGAGCCCTGATACTTAACCAATAAAAAAAACAGCAACAACAACATGCAAAAATCTCTGAATTCATCCCAGGCAAACCTCAATACAATGGAGGAAGAATGGAAGAGAAGCACTAGCACCATTAGGCACACAGCCTGAGGGTGTCTCTTGTCTCTCTGGCACATGTACAGTGTCGCTCTATTCTGGCCTTCTGCTTCTAGCGAGAAAGCAAAACCTGAAAGACCGACAATCAGACACTACACTGTTTTTTTCTACCTTCTGGTGGAACATGAAATCAGTAGCAGGAGGAGAAGACCAAATCCTAGGTCTGTTTTTCATTTTATGGGGGAGGTGGAGGATTAACAGACGTGATTAACGTCACTTCAAGTGTAGGCACTCGTGGCTCTTCAACAGTGCACAGCGACAGCAGTCAGGAGGAAAACAAGTGAGTTTCTAATCGCACCAGGAAAAAAAAGTTTCCTCCCAAAGCAAAAGCAAGACTGACTTTGCAAGTTTCTCTTGAAGAAATCTGACTCGCATGGTTACAAAAAAAAAAAAGAAGTGTTTCAGCCTAACATCACAAACAGATATGTTGGGAACAATGGAGTGTCTCACTAAATGGTTCACTTATACATAATGATATATCAAAAAAGACTGTAGCAAAAACTTTGAACACAGCGTGTTGTGGAAAGTCTTTGGTGCTCAGTGTCTCCGAAAACTGAACAGAACCACATGTATGAGACCCAAAGAACTGTCAGCATAATTTCCAATTCTAACTGAGGGTGTTAGAGACAATGGACATCATAAAGGAGTGTTGCATTACAGCAGGAACCCACAGAAAAACAACACACATCTGAAGTGTACTGTATGGCTATACATTAATCCTTCATTTCAGGCAAGGCTCTAAAGGCTTAGTGATTCGTTATAATGGTTCAGCCAATAATCCTCTCCTTCAACTCCCTTTTTGACTTCTGCCCTGAGATGGACCAAGTGCAAGAGTCAGCCATCTTGAACCAAGCAGCTCTGGACTCTCTTTAGACACATGCAGATACTGAAGAAGAGATACATCAACCAAAGCCCTCCGTTACATGTTAATCAGTCTATCCTGGCTATTTTTAACATAACTCCATTAGTACTATATCATAAAAAGATGCTGAAATTCAAATATTCCTATGTACCTTGTGAATTTTTATATTAAAAAAGAAAAAAATCACAGCATAGATGCAGTTTCGCCTGAATATATTCTGGGAAAGATATTTTCATCAGAACTGCACAGTAATTAGGGTCTCTCTTTGCTTGCATATACGATACCAGTAAATTAGTATGCTGCAGATGGAAATGACAAATCAAACCCTTTTTTGAATGACTTAAGTGTTCCATAAAAGCTTAAGGAATATGTTTGAAGGGAGGTGAGAGACTGAAAACTAATGGGTCAGCAGAGCTGAGGGCACTGCCTGGGGACAGGAAGTGCTGAGATATGACAAGTCCCAGCTCAGTGACCGTAGACTGACACTTGTTTCACTACAGCCTGCGGTGGGCCCCTCCTCTGAGGGGACTCGGGCTAGTGAGAGTCCAGGCCGATCTTGTCACGTCTTTTTGTTAGTTGGGAGTGTTGATGGGAGTGAGAGGTGAGCACAAATCCACAGAGATTATTGGAGATCTGCTTCAGCTGAACGTGACCAGACCAGCCAGTGCAGGTCTGCCTTCCGGTGTCGTGATTGGTCGTAATCAAAGAAGGCAGACGACATAGAGAAATACTTCCCAGAGTTTCAGTGGTGAGAAGTCCACGACACACACCGTGTCCTCTGAGTGGTAACTGCTTTTATTTACTGCATGATGAAGCCAGGCTGCGGGGCCATACGAGGAGGGGGCCTCTGTGGCAAAGCAGGGGGATACTGAGAGATGAAATGGGTGGGGTAGCCAGAGGAGACGCTGGGGAAGGGCTGGCCTGTTCTGGGAGGAATTGGCGGGTATGGCGATGAGTAGAAGACGGAAGGCTGGGGGGCAGCGGTTGCAGCTGGATTTGGATTTAGAATTGGGGCTGGCTGGGATGGAGGAGGTGGGGGTTTCCTCCTGGGCTGGGGGACAGGGGAGGAACCGTTACTGGCCTCAGTGAGGAGGGAGGCCGCTGCTGACACATCCTGAGATCGGGAGGCGGGAACCAGCGCCTGGGGGAGCCGCTGTCCCTTCAGCACCATCTCCTGCAGCTTCTCGATTTTCACCCTTCTCAAGTGGGCCAGCTTCCTCTTGCTCTGATAAGCATCGATGAAGGCATCCAGGGTCATGTCCCCATCCAGGAATGAATCAGCCATATTCTGTTGAGAGAGGTGAAGAGATTTGAGACAGTTTTAGAGGGAGGATAGAGAAGTCCCTTCTGACTCTTATTCAACACCAGGTTGAGAGCCAACATGAGTCATGAAGATGGAAATAGCACACAGGGAAAATCACACAGGATCAAAGCCAGTTATGCGTCTCCCTGCGTTGTTACTGCTGTTGTATCTCATTTAGTCATAAAGCATTTAGTGTTTCCACACTTTATGTGTCGTCATAGAATCGTTATTACGTTAGAATGCGGTTACACCATGTGTGATGTGGTGCACACAACTGATCGACATTCCCTACAATACAGAGATCTGGCTTTTACTGAAATGTGGTTAGGGCCATAGCTACCAAATATAACCTGCTATATAATGGAAAACTTTATCACTTCTAATGTTGTTTTATGTGACAGTGGCTTATCTGGTGAAATGACTGATGATTTACGTGACGTTCAAGTAAAGAACTGCAGTACACAACAAAGACAATTACAAGCTTACCACTTCAGTGTAATTCATAAATTATCAATTTGCTTTTTGATGGTTGCTCTTTCAACAGTTGGAGTACAGCTGAATGTCACATGTGCTCAGTGACGTAGAGGGACTAAAGGTATTAATGGCGTATTTTCACTGTCAAAGAATTTGTTACATTGTTTTCTTTGTTTTGTTTTTTTGAATACACACTCACAGAAATGATAGTTTATTTATGATGAGTTGATTTGTATGTCTGTAATATTGGAATCCGTTTACCCACAGTTATACTCTATATACTATATGTCCCACAAGGGGTGTGGGGGTGTGTTGGTCCTCATGGTCAGCAGTGGTTGTCAATACAGTAGAAACCGCTTACAGTGATCATGGTTACAGTGATCAACTGCTTATATGGATCAAAATGCTTGGGACAGGATCATTGCTGTACAAATGCTGTTTAAATAACTTGCTTATTTTAATGAAGTCGTCCACTTACAGTGTTCATTTTGGGGCTTTTCAAACATTACAACATATGGAATGAAAATTAGAACTGTTGTAGCCTATTACTGCTGCAAGCTGTCGTATGCCGAGGCTCTCTTCTAACTTAATTGTACAAGGTTTTTGGAGCCACAGTGTGTAACGACCGGTAACGACCGTCTCTGCCTGCCATCACTATGTGCGTGTGCATGTGTGTGATTTTGCCCATCTGTTCCTGCTCTGCTCACGTATTGGGACTTTTACATTGTGTAATTACTGTGCCCGCTCTCTCACAGCAGCAGGTGTGTTATATGAGTGGAGTGTAATGCCTTCACTCATTCAGACCAGGCTTGGAGCAGGTGAATGTAGTTTGTTATTTTATCTTTAGATCAGTAAATAGTGAAGCTGTCCGTTTCATTACTTTATATTCATGTCAAAACTATACAAATGTCAGTTAGATGCTAATCTGCATGAGAAATAAAGAAAAAAAAAGGTTCTAATAATCATTTGGTTATAGTGATCAATTTGACCCAAACAGAAGTGATCACTATAAACAGTTCCCATGGTAAAGATTCTCACACATTAGAAGAATTTGATCACTTTGATTCCATGTGTAGAAATGAGCCTACACACGGTTGAGGTTTTTTAGATGACAGTGTCGTAGTAGGTGACGCCAGAATTCGGGAGATTGAAGAAACTGTTTAATCACCAAACCCAGGTGGTGCCCTCGTAGTATTTTCTACTAAAAACATTTCTAAAAACAAAGCTCAATAGTTTGATTGACAGCTCAAAAATGCTGAGAAGACAGGTAGCTGTTGAAGTAATCAAAATTGTGACGTCTAAGTTACTCAGCCTGTCTGCTGCCCACATGGTCTCAAGCTACAGCTCTGAACAATGAAGCCTCTGTAGGAGAGGTCCTCAACAACGGGAAAGGCAGGTATATGAATTACTGACTGGTGTCAGTGAGGGATACATGAAGTCATCCATGGAGAGAGCAGGAGAATACTTACCTCTGTCTCCTCCTCTATTTTGGCTCCCTCCGCCTGCAGCAGGGCCAGCAAAGTGTCCAGGGAGGTGTTTCCTGACTTGTGGTCTGTTAAATTTAAAGAGAGAATAACAACAGAAATGTTTTTATTCTGTTGGACCTGAACTGAGTGAAGGCATGTCCAGCTTTTTTTTACCCATCAGTCTTAACATTGTGTGACAACAAGAGTGGCAGCAGATCCAGAGGAACTGTTTACTCAGTATTTTCATACCATCCACCACACATGTAAACACTGTTAGCATGCATCACTCCATAAACAAATGCTAGACTGATGTGAAATATATTCAATCCTCTTGTCACTGATTTTCAAGTCCTGCATCATACTTATAATGCTCAGGTGCTTCTGATAGAGTTAATATGTTACTACACTCTGTCGTAATAAAGGTGTTGCATGCTGTACTAAACATTGCGCTTATTTTACTGTTTTGATACATTCGTCGTTTTCGTCAGTGAACCAGAGCCACAACAACATTTTTACTATTACAATACTACAATTCCTCACCTCTTTTACGCTATCTCTTCACACAGGATTCTCGTGTTCTGTTTATAAATTGCCTGAAGCAGCACAGATGTATTCTAGATTAAGTGTGATCCATGCCTAAATTAACCAAGGAGCTCATTTGCTAGAAAAAAAAAACCAAAACAAACGAAACAAACTGTTGGTAATAACAGGTTTTAATGGGCCTGTCACACAAAGCTGAAGCAGGATATGTGAAATCTGCCAGTCATCCAAACAGCCATGACGCCTCTCTGTTTGCTGTGAACTCGCAAAGCCCAACTGAGTCAACTGAAACCAACTTGCTGTCTCCAAGGAGGAAGCCTGTTTTGTTTGTGTTCCTAAGATGGACTGAAAGTCACCAGCACCAACTGGAGCTGGAGCTGCATACACACGGAGGCACACTGCCAGTGAGAGCCATCACACACCACTAGTTACTGATGTCCACTTTGTCAACTCTCCTACATTCCACCAAGCCCAGACTACAATATATTAGAGCTCTAACTACAGGAGAGACTCCAGTCTAACCTGATATGCTATTCTAGGCTTCCCTCTGTTCATGACAACCCAGCGAACAAAGATCTGGAGCAACTCATTTATGCACTGGACACTGAGTGTAATACAGGAACAATGTTTCTGGTCTCAAACATCCATTATTCATGTTGAATGTCTTCAGCTCCATTGGGCTCATTAGTTTAATCCAAAATAATAACACGAATACTATTCATAATCAAAGAGAACCTCCTTTACAGGCGCTGTACTTCACTTGCAACGCAAGTTTTAAATGATGTCATCCTCATCAACCTTTGTTCATTTTTAATTATTTATATTTCAATGATGGTGAGATTCGACACTCCTACTGGTCTTTTGTTCTCATTTGTGACACAGATGTGTTAGGAATGTTGTTATTTTAATGTTTACATGCAAATAAAAAGTGCTGCTAATTTGTGTTTGTTTGTGTTAGTGCTTTTTGAACATTTTCAGCACATTTTAACAACACCGCGATAATACTGATAACCGTAATAATTTTTCTCATTATAATCATACAGTTTTGTACAATTTCATCTCTTTTCCTAATAAAAACAATTATATTCAAAAACATTTATTAAGTTATTCCATGAGTCAACATCTAAAAGCATCCTTTCCAAGTTCAGAGTTTAATCCAATCCTGAGAGCAGGTTTGGTAAGCATCTACATTGAGGTCTATTAGTGACATAAGGTCATTTGGTAATTTATTTAAGAGTGCTTTGCAAATAAATATGTACCAGTGTTGATCTCTACTCACAGAGAGATAGGACCAGCCAACCGTTTCATACAGAGTGCAATGATGGGTATTGTAGGTATCCCCAGTGATAAGAGCAGAGCAGAGTAATTTATAGCATCTAAGTGTGGTAGCAGCAGCATATATATTCATTACATCACCATAATCCAGGACAGAAAGTAATGTAGCTTCATGAATTGTTTTTCTATGGTACACAGGAAAATAGCTTCTATTTCTATACAGGAAGTTTTGTCCAATGTTAAAAAGCCATCACTGGCATGACCTTAATTATGACTTGGCTAAACTACAGCTCTCTGATGTCACTGTTAACTGTGAATTTAACAGCTTCTCTGGTTAAACAAGGGTTAAAAAGGGAAAATGAGTGACGGTGAGTAAGCGCGTGAAAGGCAAAAGAAAATAAAGATCAGGTGTTGACAAAAGGTATGGCCAAGTTACATGCGCCTCTACCCTCCTCTCACTTTGGTACAGTGTTCACACACCTTTATCATGTTGGTGTCACTTCCAGCTCATTCACTGGGAAAACATAAATTAACTTTATTATAAACTTTACTATAATAAACCTAGAAGATATTTTTGAGGGATTACAGAAACAACAACTGGCCAAACCAAGATTTCTGTAAAATTAGGACGATTTACTAGTAATCCAAAAATTTATCTCAGAATTGTTGGCACTAGATCCCAAAACCTCACGTTGGTTTGCCAAATTTTACTGACACAAGAACAAATTGAATAGAAAACCTTCAAAGACAGGGACTTCATTCTTGACACAAAGCCTTTTTCCGAGGTGAACTCCCATTCCTTTCTGTCTCGCTCTCATTTCATAACAGGGTGGACTCTCAGGCATATCAGCAACACTCCTCCACACAAAGCTGCGATTCTCTGGCCGAGCAGAGAGCCTGCCGAGCGCACAACGCACAGTCTGGGCCCGCAGATCATGAGACAGCCATTTAGTAAATGAATCCCCGTCGACCTCTGCTGTGAGCCTCAGTTTTTGGCCTGCCTCACTGCCCTGCTCTCTCTCCCACAGATTCCCAACTCTCCTGCCTGCCGATCCCATCATCCACCACTCCCTCCCACCCACTGAGGTTGTTTTACACCAGCTTGCCTGGCAGCACAATGGCCCACTGTGGGCTGCCATTCTCAGAGGCAGTGGATGGTGGATGGAGGTGGTGGGGGTGAAAGGCAGCAACCCTGCCATTTTGGCCTCTAGAGCCTAACGGACAGTGAAGGGTAACGCAGAGGCCACACATTTCCTAGAGAAAGGATGGAAGGGGGCGGGGCTGGTGGTGTAACTGTATGCAAACAACAGCACAGCGAGCTACTCTTCGTTAAATCTTTCATCTGGGTCAAACAGCCACAGTTCTCTCAGCTCTGAGCATCGCTGTCCTTCCCCAGCTGCTCTACAGCAAATCCACAACTAGGACGGCCAGTGCATAGAAGGCGGGGGGCGGGGGAACGCTGGATAACCTACATTCGACAAAAGCCATCGTTTGCTGACAACAAACAAAACCACAGACTGCTGCATCATCTCTCCTGTATGAGAGATGCTGTCCACTAAGACAGGGGTCTGGACTGTTCTGCAGACTGCTTCTGATAGTGAAGTTAAGACTGTCGTTATTGTCTCAAAGCCTTAAATGACAAGACAACATGGAAATATGTGTGCATACGTTACTGAACTACAACAAGCCATTCAGAGTGTGCATGTCTTGCAGAGGAGGAGGCAAAGTCAAACTTTTATCAGCCTAGCAGAGTAGTGAATGGCTGGCATGCTATTTTGAGAAGGCTGCTTGGCAACCACTGCGTCAACAAGGTCACAAGTATCGTCACTCCGTCTTCTTCACACACTAGGAAGTACTGTAAGGTGTGTCAGTGAGGGATAATACAGCCCTGTAAGCCTTTATATCCTACAGTGGAGATCCAAATCAGATCTGGAACTTGCTCAACCCGAACAGAATTAAATTTCAGCAGCTCCTGCAGCAACATGAGGACAGGCCTTCTGGTAACAGGGCTGCTGCAGCCTGCGATGGGACATGTGGGAACTGGTGGAACAGGTCTCTTCAGCGTGCATTCACACAAAATAAGAACAAACAGTGTGGGGAAAAAAACATTATGTAACAGCTCAGCTTCCAATAACTGGCATGCAATGGTTCATTTTAACTGGAAGCAGACGATTGCAATCACCTGAAGTCGTGATATGATCAGTGTTATCATACTGAATGTTTTAATGTAGCGCTAAAATGATGAGTCAGTTCAATTTTATGTGAAAGTCTGTTCCTACTGCAAACATTTAGTCTATGAAATGTTAAAAGATTGTGAGAAAATGCTGTTCACAATTTTTCAGAGGCCATGTAATGTCTTCAGTTTACTTGTTATTTCTTTGAAAAGAAAAACAGCTCTGTAAGTTGGGGATGTGGAACCAAAGAGTATTCACATTTGTTCTCGGAAAATTATTGAAATGTTGCCACACCCCCACATTTCAATAATGGCAGTGTGGGCGTAGTCCAGACCATGTAAAAACCGATGTAGCGGCTCACCGGGTAATGGCCAGTTCGACCACGAAGTGTTTTGTTCTACCTGGGTGCTGTGCGTAATATGCCGGCAGAGTAAAAAATATATCCAACTTAATGATAGGTAGTTAAAACTACCTTTCTCTCTCTTTTTCTCCTCTTTCTCTCTCCCCCATTCACCTCAGACAGGTGTCGCCGTGTGTCACCACTTTTCCAAGTGTGTAATTGCAATTTCATGGCACTGTAGCGGTGGTAACAATTTGCAACTAATTGTTGCAGCTCTCCAGAATAGCTTTGTTGTGTATTTGGCCTGTTGGTCAGGCCAAAGAAGACCTCTAAAGACTTTAGCTAATGTTTTATAGACCAAGCCATTCATTGATTTATGGAGAAACTTAATGGACTGATAATGAAAATAATTGCTAGTTGCAGTCCTATTTTAATGGTACATCATCAAAGCAAGAGTATTAGCTAAATGGGGCATCCAGCAGGCCTGGGGGATCAGAAGTTCCAGGGTGTGCCAGTGGCCAAGCGGTTAAGAGGCACAGCATATAACATCCCAGTGTTTCTAGTTGAATCACAGATGTTCTATCAAAATAATCTTAATGATCTAATTTAACTTCTGCCTTCTGATTACAATCTGAATTGCAATTAAGAAATATCATAAACATCTATTTACAGTTATGTTGTCAGTTATTATAATAATATCTGGGTATAATATGCGTTCTGGTAAAACTGTTTGTACTTTGTGTATTGTGCCTTGTGCTCTGTTTCCTGCATCCACTTGCTTATGTATCAGTTATCAATGACTTCACAGATAAGACTGTGTTCAAATTTCTTAAGAGCTGGGTAACATTAAAAATTCAAGACACTGAGATCAGCTAATCAATAAAAAATGTTTCTCAGTCTGCCATAGCTGACACACTGCTACTGTACCTAGGGTGGACTTGCGGAGCTGATAAGACTCAAAGTTCTCCTGAAGACAGCTGTAGCTCTTGGTGAGCTGCTCCTTCTTGTGCTCCAGTCTGGGCTGCAGGGCGAGGTTTTGCTCGGCCAGGGTTCGGTTGTTGACCAGCGTGGTCTCCTTGCTCTGCTGGACCTCATGCATCTATAACAGAAAACAAAAAACATAAGTGATGTATTTATAGCTTCACCTTTATCATGTCAAGCATCTATTGTATTGTAGTGAATATTAACTATGAATCATCGCACTTTAGCTGCCTGTTTTCACACAACTCCCACAGTCCTCGTCACATATTTTGTCATGACCACAATGTTTCATAGAACTGTTTAAGATCTGCATCTTTATAAGTAGAAACGAAAACCCTGGTTAACTTAATTTCTTTTACAACCCTTTATCATGTGACAGTTTTTTTTTTTAACTATAAAATAAATTTGGACAAAAATTGAAATATATTTGAAACTTAAAATTCCTGCAAGAACAGTAATAATTTGTTATTTGTTATCTGGTTACAGAAGAAAATACAAAACGTAACCTGACAAACTTCACCTTAAACAGCATAAAGCACTTTAGAGCAGCAGGGGACAAACAGCACCTGGGCACTGACTCATCCAGTTATAATTGCTACTGCGTTACTAAACAACAGACCTGTTTAACAACAGCCATCTGACATGTCATGGCAGGAAAACCACAAGTGGATCAAATAACATACAGAGAAAACAGAGAAAAATTGAAAGAAAAACCAAGCAAGCGTCTTAGTAAGGTGTTGGGCCTCCACTTGCCACCGGAGCAGCTTCCTTGGCATTGATTCTACAAGAACTGTAATGGATGGATGAACACCATTCTTCTTCAACCGGGTTGAGATGTGGTGACTGTGAAGGCCGCAGCATATGATTCATATAATTTTCATACTCAAACTATTGAGTGAGCCCTTGTGCCCCGTGGATGGAAGAAATATCATCCTGTTTCTTCACTCATTTTGCAGGTTTATCCTTTGATTTGTCACTTGTCTGTAAATCATAGCAGTAATTCTATCACGTGTGCCAGTATCTGGACCCTGCTGTTGTGCGTGCTGACACATTCTCTCGTTCACTCATCACTACTCCATGTATAACAAACACTAGGTACAGTGAACAGTACACTGAGATTAGCTCTAAGAGTCTTAAAGAGGACACGAGAAACAAGAGCTAAACTCATCATTTTTGAGCATTACACTACACAAGTCATTTAATTCTATGTTAAAATCAGATATAACACTTAAATAGGTACTTCATTATATTTAGTATTGCACTTCCATTAAGTTAAGACTTTATGTTTCCCCAAAGACACATTAAAACTGTAGCTGCAGAGGCTGAGATATCCTAACGCTTAGTCTCTAGTATGGGTCAGGCTGCAGAAACATTGCATCCTACATTTCCTATAATCCAAGTCAACAGCATCTTTCACTGCCTCATAAATACTCACTTCTTTTTTTTCAATCCCCACACCTGTAGTATGTAATGCAAATTTTTAAAATGGCTATTTTGTCCACACTTTAGGAACCTCCCTCCAAACCTGTTTTAAAGGCTGAGTAGTCCTCCCTCCTTCCGATGAGTTAACCGAACCTCATGTAAAAATTGGTGGAGTGTCATTTTCATGCGAGTTTGAACTGAGAAAATTAAGACAAGTGGGAAGAACAACATGCTACAGTGAGAACAAGTGGGGGATTTAATCAAAAAAGCTCCCCAGCCACTTCCTACTTCTCAAATGACTCATTTCACACAACCACCCAACATGTTGTTAAGTGTAAAAAAATTACCAGGATAGGGTGAGAACATGTAGGAAAACCTAAATATACACTAAAGTGTGGAGGGTGATTATGGAATAGTTTCTAAAAGTGAGGCAGCGTTGTTTGTTTGAACAGAGAAAACATTTCATACAGGGAAAAGCAGCTAAATGATGTCTATTACCGCTACAATTGGAGCCATCATATCCTGAGGTGACATACCTCCCTTTTGCAAAAGCCGATCTGCTCATTCATCGTGGCCCGCTGAAGAAGCAGACCTTTAAATAGCATCCATAACTGCAGGCTTGTTCTGTCAAACCAAACACATAATTGTTTGCTGGCGGAAATGCTCTCCAGTGTTCCACTCTCTCCATAAAAACGCTGGAATAATCACAGGAAATGTAGGTTAAGAGCTACTCTGAATGGACCATAGACCTGAATTTTGGAGAGCTGGTGTAATAACCCACATTTAGATACAGGTCACTGTATTACTCCACTCGCAAAGAAAAATAATTGTTACACAAGTGAGAAACCGAAGGAGCATGAAAGCTAACTTTGGCTTGAGGACTCTGAACTACAAACGTGAACAGGTGCTGGTCTCCTGAGTCCCTGATTTTGGCCAATACCATCAAATTTTAAGTAATTTTGAGTAAAGTATCTAAATCTCAGTATTGAAGCTACAGGCAAGCAATCAGACAGGCTGACATACCAGCTGGTATTAGCTTGTTGCAGATGTATATCATTACAGGTGTTGATCAATGAGTTTCAAGAAACTACACAGAAATGCCAGTTTTGAGGTAAATGATCTCCGTCCACACTAAAGATTTTCTACTCTCCAGTCGTCTCTCCAAACGAGGAACAGCAAAGACAGTTGTAGTGTTAAAATGCAGAACTGAACTGCACAACAGCTGCTAGCAAAGACAATGGGGTCAGAAACGCTTATAATTCGTTATCCATGTGGTGTTCACCACTGGTAGTCGAAGCTGATAAGTCCCAATCAGGAGACGAATGTTGGTGTCTGCATCATTGTTTCCAAAGGTCTCAGTTTCTGTCCGACCAGACTATAGCGCAACCCCAGAGTTTATAAACTAAAATGGGGCCAGCAGCATTTCCAAAAGTCTCAGTTTTAGAGGCTCAAAAACTCAGCAGTAGTGTGAACACCAGGTGCAAATGTAGCAAAACTGATGCATTTCAAAACTCAACGTATTACTGTGGATGTAGCCTGATTAGAAGTTTGTTTAAAAAAACAAATCTAAAGCTTGGGGCAAAGCTAAAGACAGGAAAAATCACACCTCAAGATTTTTTCCTTCAACCTGAACTGATTTTTCAGTCTTTGACATTCAGAGAAGAGCATTAACCTTACAACTGAGTAAATACACCAGACAACACACTGAAACACTGGTCAGTGATGACAACGCCGCAAATCCTGCGAGAACACAAATTGTCACAAGTTCTTGCACCAAAACAAACCAGGATAGCAACCAGCAGCTTGTACTGTTCATATACAGAGACATTTGTACTGAAAAGGCTAAAAAGGTTGAGATACTGAGTGGAGAGTCACGACCAATGTGGACTGTATAGCCTATATAAGAGACTGGAAATGAGTGAACTTTGCATAATGAAGCCAACTTCAGGTAAAGCTTTTCATTTACTGGCATGTCTCCCTTGTCATCTGTCACATACAAGATTTCATCTGCTGACTGATCAGCTGATCCAGACTGGGACAGACCCACGTCAAATTGGTCCTGTCCCTACACATCCGAATAAAGAATCCGTATCAAGAATGCTTGGTGTAGTATCGTCTGATATATCATTATCAGATAACAAATGTCGATATAAGTATCGGCCTCAAAAGACCAGTAATGGTAGAGCTATAATTTATATAATTAGACGAGCATGAAATGTTTGAATCTTCAGCAATTAACCAGCGCAATAGACATTCATGCACCAAGATGTTATTATATCCTTCTACTCATAAATTCATAAATACATAAAAGCCATTCCAGGATTAGTAAAGACCTGAAAAAGATAAGAAGGCAAAGGGGAGAGACGGTGCTTAGCTTAACCTTAACTCACTTCCACATGTATAAAAAAGCTTAAATGAGCTGAAACATCATGGTGACATTGTAAACTGGGTCATCTTCACATCAAGATCATTTGGCTTTAGCCCAGTGGACACTCAAAAGGTAGGTTATCAAAACAGCGATCCTACATTTCTAAAAATAGTCATTGCAGCTTGAGCTTTCTTCAAAATATGAGCTGCAAACAGCCGACTATCACACACATACATTCATACACAGAAGTCGCATTAGAGTATGCTGTAGCAAAACATTAGTGGCACCTAGTACATGCAGGTATGACACATTTAAGGTCAATTCATGGAAAAAAAGGAAACAGTGAATCTAAACAAATTCGTGACAGCGCTATTTGCATTATTCAAAAGGCAGCACATGCGTGGCCGTCAGTGTGTGTTTTGCAAAATGAGATTATTGCCTACAGCCAAGCATGTGTGTCTACATCTGAGGGTTTGTGTCCATACACTACAGCTGTATGCTCAGTGCTTCTCAGCATTCTCAGGTTTCACTAAATGCCTTATGACACCCACTGTCTTTGTTTCCATTTAATCTGTTATAAAGGAAGAACTCCCCAGACAGTTCCACCTTTGGCTCAGGCATGTCTTCACTTGGCTGAGTCTCTTCTATAACTGCAATAATCTTGTGACTAACTTAAGTCAACACCTGCTGTGTCATTGCAGAAAATAAGTCCCTCCCTCTCCATAACCTATGCGAAGAGGAAAACGAAACCATGGAGACAACCGGACAGGGTGTGGATCAAAAACAGAACTGACAACACAAAAGGAGACATCACGGCACAACATTCATCCAAATCACTAACAATACCAGACTGTGTTCTTCCGGCTTTTGCGAGATGAAATAGATCTGGTGCACTTATGATGATGTAAAGTAGCTTGCTGTGGTAGTTTCTCATGTCTGAGGAGACAGACTCTTTCCACAGCGCCATGACACCAAACAAGAAAAATTCCTGTCTTGACAATGTTTAACATTTGTAATTACTGATCAAGTCCATGCTGTAGGGTGAGGAAGGGAGGAAGAAAGTTTTTCCTGAAGAGTTTTCACTTGACAGTAAAAAAGAAAAAGAGAATCAGTACGGTGGGAGAATGCTGGTGGGGCTGATTTAGCGTAGATTAAAACCCACACTGGAAGGAGCAGCATGATGGGAAATAATCACAAGCACAAATCCGGTATAAAAATCCTACTAATCTGTTAGCCCTCTGTCTTGATATATCAAAATTCTGTCTGCAGTGAAACCTTTCTAAGGACTGTGGCTTGTAATCACTCTGTGTATGGAAAAACTCAGGCTTATCAGCTGCTTATCGTGACAAGGACAGACTTATGATACAGCAGGTACACATTAATTGGGAATTGCTGAGCCCTTATGCTACTGGAGCAAGGCCAGAGTCCTGATATGAGCCAGTGGCCGTGGCCTGTGTAGAAAGGCAACTCTGAAAATGTCAGTTAATACTTACTTTGGCAACTGCCTCAAAAACATGTGTCATGCTGCATACTTTAAAACTAGCTCTGAATGTATGAGGTAATGTGGTGAATTCGGCATTTATAGCCTGATTCCACAACACAGCACTAATAAAATATCCTTTGATGTAGTGGTTTAAGTCTTCATTAGGGTCTGAGTGCAGAGTGAACCAGGCATATTTCAGATAAGGGTGTTCAGTGCTGTTTTCCTCGGAAACGGCCAATCTGCGCCGACAGAAGTCTTAAATTGGTAGATATGTGAGTGAAGTTTGGCACGACGACCTGACCCTGACAGAGTGTCGAGGCTAGGCCAATGCTTAAATTATGTTTACTGAAATTTACTCAGCATTAGCACGGTCATTAAAATAATATATTTTATTATATTATTGAACACTAACGAGCTTATCTCGTGTGGGGAAGTACTTTTTTTTTAGCACAAACCGGGAATCCTCGTGTGTTAAAACTTGAGACAATGCTTCCCCCTGCTCCGTCCCAAGGTTAACGATTTGTAACGTACTACTTCGTGTTTCGGAACATTAAAGTTCCGTTGACAACACGTATGTGTTACAAAATCCCGAACGTGATTCGAAGCAACCGTTTCCGTAACCGTTACCGAGCGTATGTTGGGAAAGCACAACAACAAAAGGCTAAGGAAAAAACAGTGACCGAGAAAAAGGAGTCAATAGCTAACATTGGGACTACAAAAGCCCCTAGCTTAACATACCTCGTCCATCTCTTGGACCATTTTCGTGAGTTTGTCGTCGTCCTCCAGGATCTCGTTGAGCTGTGTCATCGTGTAGGCGCTAAACTTGTTGGAAAAACTAGACATTTTAGCTCTTGTTGTGTGTTTCTCCTCGTCTGTGGTCCCTCTTCTTGCCTCTCTGGATTGTGACAGCTGACTGAGCTTCCCTTACAGGAACTAGAGAGGATACAGGCCCGGTGCTGCCTTCATGTGCGATCGGAATTTGCCACATTCATCGTCAATTGAGCAATAATCAAAGTGTAGGATGAACCTTTTACTAACTTTGACTCGGTCACCTAATTATTGACTTTACAGTAATATACAGAAATCAGTTTTAAAAAGTAAATAAATAAACGTACAGATTTTTCTTTGGAGCCAAATAAGGACTATATATAAAATGTATATGAATTAATAATGTTTAACATTATAATAATTATACTGTATTAAAATAATAAAATAAAAATACACCAAGTTATGCTTTAAGCCTATTTTCAAGACAGTTCAGTTATATCCACACGCATGTGGATGTACTGCTATAGCTGGGTGTAAAGCTTGTTTGTAAAATAGAAAAGTGCATCAGCAGAAGAATTTGACTGTAGTAGCCAATGTCCCCTGTGTTAAGAGTTATACATGCAATCAGCTGAAGGACTATAGGAGTTGCAGATCAATTAATCAACTAAATGTTTCAGCTTTAGATGCAGCAAAATTACATCCGCCAACATCATGAATTTGATACAAATGACAAAGAGTCACCCAAAATATTATAAATAAGTCACTAAAAGTTACTAGTATGCCCATGTTTCCATTGGCTGAAGGGGGGTTTTACAAGGAGACAGTGAATGTAGCATATGGCGTTAATCCAGCATGTTTGTTGTAACCATAAAAGACTCCATGCAGTGTATTTTTACAGTCTTCATTACACAGATTGTTCATTTACAGTGGTTGATACAGTTACATTATGTACAAGTAGTGTCATTAATTGCTTTCTTTCTTTATCACTGACAATCATAGATCTCTGTAGTGCATTCAGTTCCACAGCCAAAGGCACCTGTCTTTTCTTTGCAGTCACCACGCTGCTTACTTACAAATAATATCATTTATCCACCTGGAAAAGAAAAACCAAGCATTTCCACACCTGCTACAGCAAAACCAATACAAAAGCAAAAACAAACCCTGTGGAAGACTTAGATAAAACAAGTTCTGTCTGGAGTGTGATGATGAGGTATTAAAAAGTAAAAACACACACAATCTTATACAGTACATCAATCAGTTAATAGTCATATTGACCACTCATTCAAGTTTTATCTCCAATGGCAAACTCAAATCAAGGGTCAGCCTTGATATGATATGTTTTGATACATTTGACTCTATTATAACTTAATTATGCTACTCAGTTCGTCTGTAAGCGGATCTTTACCTGAACTGATTCTGACATGATCATTTCATCAAATTCCTCATTAAAATATATCAAGGTTCTGGATTTCACTGGAGCATTTTGAGTGCTCTGTGGTCTATATTCTGTCTAAGATACAGAATCTGCATAAAATACCTTCTACAGTATAGGGTTTTAGCAGCAGTCCACTCCCATTTCAACAAGCTGCTGTTGCTGATTCTCAGTAGCGAACATTGCACTCAGACTCGCTGGCGCTGCTGCTTTGTCTTCTCTGCTGACGCCCTCCGTCAGACTTCCAAGGGAGGTTTTCTGATGGGTTTAGGACCTCCGCCCCTGTCTCTATGCCCAGGACCTGCCTCTGCACCAGCTTGCAGTAGAGCCCCCCACTGGCCATCAGCTGACTGTGAGGGCCCTGTTCAGCCACACGGCCCCTGTCGATCACAATGATGTTGTCTGCTTTCTCCACTGTGCTGAGCCGATGGGCGATCACCAGCACCGTGTGCTCCCGTATGATGTTGTTCAGAGCCTGCTGAACCTGCAATGGATAGTCACAGACATAAATCAACACCTCTCTGAAACATTATATCATTCACTAATGTTGTATTTACTACAGGCTATATTACAGGGCTGCACTACATCTAACAGGTGCTGCAGATGTCATTTGGCTTTGGTAATTGTAGCAGTTTACTTACAATGTGCTCACTTTCTGCATCCAGAGCGCTGGTTGCCTCATCTAGGATAAGAACACGTGGGTTGCGGATGAGAGCTCTTGCTATGGCCACCCTTTGTTTCTGTCCCCCTGACAACTGGGTGCCCTTCTCTCCAACACCTGGGAAAAAATAAGGTGTGACATACATAATAGTTAGTAGCATTTAATTTCAGAAAACAATAATATGTAGTTACCGTTAGGCTCTTTTACATTTTGGAGGCATTTTTGTCTTTATTTGGTTAGTGGACAGAGGAGAGAGGACTAGAAATAAGCGTAGCGAGAGTAAATTCCCAGCCAGACTCAATTGTACTTGAATATAGACCAGAATAAGTGGAATGTGACTAATAATAATGAAATTCTTGGATTAAAACTGCTTTTATGTGTCAATAATAAATATCTGTAAAAACTTTTTTTATGCAAGACGCGTACTTTTCAAAATAAAGTAATGATTAAGATGAAACTTGACTAGATGAGACTAGATCCCACTCAACCTGAACTAACCGTGAGCTCTCTCGCAGGAGACCAGTCCAGGGTATGTAAAGAAAAACATAAATCAGTGCAATATTGATATTACTTAGTGTTTGTTTCTATTATGCTAATCACTGACTGGATGTCCTTGATAACATACCTTTTCCATTACTAATACAGTGACTTGCATATTAACAGATCACATAATTACTTGTCTCATAGCCTTTGGGGAGGGTGGTGATAAAGTCATGAGCGTTAGCCTTGGTGGCAGCCTGCACCACAGCCTCCATGGGGACGTCACTCAGGCCATACGTGATGTTTTCCTCGACCGTCCGGGCAAAGAGTACAGGCTCTTGGCCCACTAGAGCTACCTGCAGAGACAAAATAACAAATGGATGAAACTATGTGTGAAAAACATTAACCAACAAGTAGCAAAAGATAAGCATATTCCTATATATCGTATATATCTTCTTCCTCTGTGCCATAAAGCTCCATTGTTGTCCAAAACCTATTACAACACACCATTGAGCCGCACTGTTGAACTTGGTGACATGTTCCTTCATTATCAGGAACACACACACTGTAGTTTATTTTGACTCACTCCCACACACACCCTCCTGCTGTAGGAAATACTCACTGGAGCACCCAATGTGGATTAATCAGCAGCTGAAAATAGGCCCTCACACATGCACCATTTACTCCAGTTTGAGTAAGATTTGCTAAAACTACAGCACCCAGCTGTTTCAGGAAATTACTTAGCCTTAAAAAAACAAACAATGTATATAGAGTATGTCACACATTTTTAAAGATAGGAACAAATGGGCTTGGGGCCACAGACGGAGTAGGGAAACTGTAAACTGACAGATGAAAAAGGGCCTTGTTGGTTTTGGGCTTTTGCTGGGATTTTTTGACAATAAGAAAAAATATAGAACAACATCAGTCTCCTCCTTTAAAAGAACACCCTGTCATACCCCTGAAACTATGTCTGTTACACTAATTTATACAGACCTTGGAGTGGAGGTAGTCGTGCTGGAAGGTGTGAACAGGTTTTCCATCCAGCAGCACTTGGCCTTGTTGAGGAAGGTAGAAGTTTTCCAGCAGACTCACACAGGAGCTCTTTCCACTGCCTGAGGGTCCCACGAGGGCTGTGACCTCTCCTGGCCGCAGGGTGAATGACACTCCCTACACAAGGAACCGATTCAGGAAGTGATTTTCTTCAAACTTAGAAAATCAGACATCTTTTTATCTAGTAAGAAGAATGGGTTTCAAGGCCGGAGGGCTACTGATATTTGGGATTTATGTTACTTATATCTGATAATATTTGCAAAAAATTCGATCTGTAAATATGACCATGATCATGTTCAAATATCACAAAAAAAAAAACTGTTTCCCCAGAATAACAATGTAAAGTAGCTTTTAGACACAGATTAATTACATAAAATACTTTTAATTGAAAGTTTTTATGAAAGGCTTGTATTGGCCCAATATTTTATATAAACTGACCCTGAGCTCTGCAACATAAAGCCAAACTGACCAGCTGTGAATAGTGCATTAGTTATACAGGGTTTCTCAACACAGTGTAGCAGCAAGATCCCTCAGAACAAACCTTGAGGATATCAATCTCAGGGCGTGTCGGGTAGGCAAACGTGATGTCTTTAAATTCAACTAGACCGGTACATGTGTCTGGAACCTCTGTACCATCAGCTCGGTGTTTGGGTTCCCTGTCTAGATACTCAAAAACCTTCTCAGCTGCTCCCACACCCTGCATGAGGCCTGTGTACACCGACGCAATGCTCTGAAACATGAATTACAAAGGAGCATTAGCATCATGTACTTGTTTTTGTAGACTTGTAATAAAAAGATATAAAGGAAACAGATAACATACCTCCAGACATTCTCCCAGCTCGAGCATGTATATGAAAAAAGATATCAAGGCACCACTGCTCATCTGACCAGTAACCACAAGGTGACCCCCATAGTAGAGGATAGCAACCTCCAGAGCGAGCTCTGAAATCTGAAAAACACACACAAGTACTGTAACAAACAGTTATCAATAAAAAAAAAAAAAAACAGAACAGATTTAGAGCTTTACTGTTGATACCTACACAACTGGACCACATGTAGCAAGCATAGGCCAGGGCTTGCTTTTTGTTGAGCTGGAACATGACTAAGAGTTTGGCATAGTAGGAGTCAGCCTCCCCACACTCGTTGGCAAAGCTCCGCACCGTCCTCATGGCTGAAATGGTTTCTTCTGCAACTTTGTTGGCCTCTGCAAGAGTTGTTTGCACTTCTTTGGTCAGTTTCTGTAAAAATAACATTAAAACAGAGATGTTACTCAGTTTTATCTTCAAAATAAATCATCAGTACAGATACAAAACAAAACTACTTTACCTTGTAGTATTGTCCGTAAAGTGTAGAGACGACGGCAATGAAAGGGAATCCCATGATGGTCACCAGTGTGAGCTTCCAGGACATCCCAAACATGAAGATGAAGAAGCCAGCACCCTTGATGGTGCTCCTCAGAAAGATGTTGACATTCTGGGAGATGAGATCACTCACTTGGGTGGTGTCAGCTGACAGACGTGAAATGATGTCACCTACAGGGTGATATAGGCACGTAGTAGCATTAGGAGGACAGCTCTATTGTCAAAGAGGGCCCTTGAGTAGGTGAAGGAACAAAAGATGGATGGATGTATTAATAGCGTTTCCAGGTCACCTGTGTGGTTGTCATCAAAAAAGGCAATTTCCTGCCTCATCAGAGTTCTGAAGAGATGGTTCCTGAGCCGAAGGTTTAATCGAGCAAATGTCATGGTGAAGACTCCTCCACGCACTCCCATTGCAAGTGAACTGAGGAGAAAGAAAGGATCGTCAAACATTTTTCTGGTTTGTGGACAGGACACGTGAAGAATAAATAAAACAAACATAACATACGTCCCTCTCACACCAGTCATTTCATTTTGAAAATCCACCCAGGATTACAGTGACGACACACATACATTTCACAATCAGAAGACAATCTGTATATTGTATTGTATATTGTATTGTATATTGTGTAAACACCCACCTGGCTAAGGCCAGCACTGCCACTGTAATGACCGGTTTAGCAAAGTACTCCATGCTCTTGTGAACCACAATGCTGTCTATGGCCTTCCCATAGTAGTACGGTATGAAGGCTTCACCTGAAGGGAGACACCATGATAAACTCTCAGAGCTGCTCACATATTTCTGAGTTTGGAATTTGTCTGTGAATGTTCTCATTCGTCCAGGTCATTGCACTAGTCAGACTAGTCCGCACTAGTCAGACTAGTGCGGACTAGAGAGACCAATACATAAGAACTGATGAAGCCGCTTGGATAAGAGGCGAAACGTCTTCCACAGACAAATACAAGTCCAGTTGCCTTCGATTTAATTTGAGAGAGAGAGTTTGGAATTGATTATTCCTACATAATGAGTTACAGTATCTTAAATGTCATCAGTAAAAGCAAGATGCTTAGTGAGAACTTTTGGACAACAATGAGATATTTGTTTTCAAATTAACTTCAGAAATGGAATAGAGTTAGGTTAAGAGTGTAGTTGTTTCTCAGGTGTAAGCATTTGCTGCTTTTCTTTGTCTTACGTGATAATAAACTAAGTATCTTTGAGTTTTGGACCAATAGCTGAAGAAAACTATCTATTTTTAAAAAGTCACATTTCTTCTTTGTCTAATTTCTGACATTTCATAGACCAAACGATTAACTGAGAAAATAATCAGTCAATCAATCAATCAAGCAAGCAATCAATCAATCAATAATAAAAAATAATCATTATCTGCTGCCCCTGTTCAGTGGGTCTTAATTTATACTGGTACACATTTTGAAGGTGAGGTGTTTTTGCCAGACAGTTTACACTTTATGGACGAGCACTGTTTAGAAGCTTTTTAGAGGAGTTAGTATGTAAAACCCTGCATCCAAAAATGCTCTGTATGTTCAATAAGGTGCTATAAAGTTCCTGTTCCTGTCTCAAATTTTATTTCTTCTTTTTGTCTGTTGTGGAAGATGAAGAAACCAAGAGCCTTGTACTTTGACATTAACAATGGCACTTAACTGCATTTTTATGAAGCCAAATCTTAAAGTGTTGTGTGATAAGGAATGAGTAACACAGTCACAACCTACAGGCTCAGTACTTAAATTGCCATAGAAAGGCTCTGTTGAGATATTGAGCAAAAGTGTTGCAATCCTGTGTAACAGACAGGTGGAAACACTGTGACTGGACAGGTTTATATTACGATGTTGAGGTCACTCACACACAGCAGAGATGAGGAGGAAGAGGACAGCTACAGACACCAGTCCACCATCCTTCTTGCAGAAGGTTAGCAAACGTCCCAGTGTTGCCCCAGAGCTGGTCTTCTCCTTCTCCTGGATTCCCTCCTCCTTCTGCTTCTTCCTCTCACACCCCACACCCCGCTCCTCCTCACCACCTGTCCCCACCAGCTTCTCAGTGTCCTCAGAGTCTCCTCCGCCTCTGTTGCTGGTGCTGCTGGTGCCGCTGTCGTGAGCGCTCACTGAGACGGACTGCTTCCCCAGCAGGCTCCAGAGCAGCATGACTCCCAGAGAGGAGGCACAAGTCCAGCATATCAGGCTCAGGAGCCAGGGCTGGTGTGTCAGAGGCTCCACTTCAGACAGCATCAGCAGCTTGGCCAGGGCATAGGTGATGATGACCAGGCAGATGAGGAGAATGAGGGTGGTGAGTGTAACGACCCTTGGTGGGCCGTCCTCCTTGTTCCATGATACACCTATGGAGGCTCCCAGCAGAAGGGAGGCTCGGAGCAGCACAGTCCCCCAGAGGTCCAACACTGACTGGAGGATGTTAAAGTCCAGGACATCCTTTCTGAATATGATCAAGTGTGATCCATGTGTGTATAGGACAGTGCTGATGACAATATCCAGTAGGACAAACAACACAGTGCAGCTCACACTTATTTTGATGCCCATGCTGATTATCAAGGCAAAGTTACAGGGAGTTATGACAAGTACTATCAGTGGTATACTATCCCAGATAACTACAAAAACTGGCTTTTCAAAATAAAACTCAGGGTGATTAGCAACTAGACTCAAATGTAGGACATCTGGTCAAAATTTAAATGAGGCCTTACATTCAGAAAAACACATAATAAATACATACTGCCAGAATCATTATATGGTATTTTAAGATCACTCAGAATTTGGCAGAAATGATTCCAAATAGGATTATTTGAATTACTTCTTTACACTTACTGTTATTTTGAAGGAATTTGCTTCCGGTCCTCTGCGGCTCGTAACAAGAGGAAAATGAGGTAGTATAATATAACAAGCTTAATTTAAGCTGTACCTACGCTATAAATGATTGCCCTGTAAGGTTGGAACATTGCTCTCAGTCTAGCACATGTTCTACTACATTATTGGCTGCATGTATAAGTTAGCCATTAGCAGGCAGTGAATTGTGTTGCGTCAGGTTACAAATGCGTCCATGTTATTAAATCCCTGGAGGTCCAGTCAGGTGTCCACAGGAACCTTAAACCATTTACTATAGTTTTTCTATATTCATAGTAAAATACACAACATCGTAAATAGTAGCCTACACTTGCTACATGCTACTTAACTCAAAACGAGCAAAGTAGGTTTAAGAGAATGAAGTGACACTAGCGAGGTGGACGCCGGTTTCAAAGATCGTCTACACAACAGAGGACTCCCACTTGACAGGAACTACAAACTGGCATAAACACACACACACGCTTACTGCTTCGTACAATACGTATCTTAACTGTCATAAATCTGATGTATCCGTGATGAAATGACCTTGGCATCAGTGAAGTCAGTCATATTATAAAGCCCCCCCCCCAGTTTTCACATAATCAATAGTAGTACTAATATATATATAGTGAACTAATATTTTCAAAATTAAACTTCAAATAAATCACTTCTTGTTACATGAAAAAAGAATTTCAGTGAATTATAGTTAGCTAGCTCCAAACACATTCAAACTGCCACACAGGTTTACCCTTTAGAAACGGAGAATTCACTCCGCAGTGGTTTTAATTTATAAAGGAGTCAGAATGATACCTCATTGCTTTTGACCTACCTTTGCTTTCTGACGCACAACAGTTGTTGCGGAAGTGAACGTGTTGTGTAGCCCCTCTCACCAGGAATTGTAGCGCGTTTAAGAGCATCAGGCATGGATCATGGATGTATTATAAGAATTTATAATAATGTATTATAAGAACATTCAGGCATCACAAAAACCAACGACCCTTCTCTCTTTGATGGGAGAACGTTTTTTTGTGAAAGTGATGTTTTGTGAAATCTCAATGAAACACCAGAATAAAGTGTGTATGAAGTGTCTTTCTGTTCATTTTAGTTTCACTGCTGCAACTTCAGTTTTGGTTCACTTTCTTTAGATCTATTTTATAATTTCTGTTTTTATACTGTTTTCCTATGGTGCTTTTTATTCTATTCTTATGTTTCTTTTAATTTCTGTTAAGAACATTGAATGACCTGTGTATGATACTGTGCTATGCAAATAAATTTCCCTTCATTGCCTTCACTCTCACTGCTCTTATCAGCTTTTTTTCCAGCAGGAGCAGACAGCTGTTTTGTTTTCATCATCAGTAGACTCAATGTTCACCTGTCCTGCCCCAAACAACAGGCAGTTAGTGGCTACACACGGTGGAGCATTTGGCAGCTAGAGACACATTTTTCTTGGGAGATGGAGACCAAACCAGAGCTGAAAGAAAAGTGAATATAGGACTTACCTTCATCAAGTGGATAAAAACATGACTCCAAATGAATTCTAATGTTGCTCTCTGTTACCCTGAATGTGTTAATAGGCAACTATTTGCTAATACATTTAATACCACAACCTTATGAGATTATAAAATGCCATGTTTTCAGCTTTTTAAATTTAATTTTAACAGTAACGAACGCTCACAAGCAATATCTAATTTCCTGTCATGTAATGGCTATACACCAAGGCTTCACAAATAAAACAATACCTTTATTTTAAAGCACTGCAGTGTAAGAACATGTTGTACGACAAAGTGAAAACAATTAAGTTCACATCATTTTCATGGGAAACACTTTTTTGTTGGGAATTGGGAGGAAAAAGCTCAACAATTCTTGAGGGTCAACGCTTCCTTCCGGATCTTTGGCCAGCGAATTCTGTTTCTAAGTGTGAGATTCATCTACAAGTGACACATCAACCCGCAGTGTCTTCAACTGTAGTAGCACTCATCATCACATTCATCAGGATTTCCATCTTCGGTCCAAGACTTCAGGCAGCTCATGATGACATGCAGTCGTGCTCTGATGGGATCTCTACTCTCCAGTATTTTCAAACTGTCCCTCTCAGTGGACGTCAGACTCGGGTAAGTGATATGCTAACTCAGTCTTTATGTCTTCGGCGCTGTTTTGCTCGGTGGAAAGCACCGTGTCAACAGGAAAAGACAAATATAAACTCTCTTTCAGTTTTTTGGGTGAGGGCGAGTCTCCAGCACCGAACAGAGGGTCTGCAATTTTAAAGGTCATCGAGGGCATGTTATGTGTCCTGCGTTTGGCGTTCTTCTTCTTCTCTTGTTTGTACGCTGCGTTCATATTGGCTAGCACCTGGAAGTGAAACACATATTTAGGCACAAAACAGAAGGGATGTTAAAAGAACAATACAAAAAATCTGAGCTGAATCATTTCCCTCCATATCTACCGTATGTTAAATAACAGTTATGTAATGAGTTAATAAATCAAAGCAGATAAATGTATGTATTTGTGAATATTCTGTCCACAGGTTTGCTGTCGAATGACACATGGGTAATACTAGTGTTGACTCTGTATCCTAAATAATTAATATTTTCTTACACCTGAGGTTTCTGTGACAGAAAGGTGTAAGAATCAGGTTTCTGTCATGTAATACACATGAATGTGCACAACAGTCAACACAAATGAAGACATCATGTCCAACATGTTACGATACATGCCAAGCACCATGTCTGGGGCACATGAAAACATAAACAATGCAACAGCAAGCTTGGTTGAATGTATGTGTACTATCAACTGTGGCCAGTCACAGAGGGAACGAAAACTGTTAAAGCTGCCCAGCCCTAATATAAGGTCATGTGACTATTGTCTTAAGACAGACTTAACGCCATCTCAAGTGACCTTTAAAGACGCAGCACTGAGAAACATCGTTCCTCAGCTTTGCATGTATGTAAAGTTGCGCACATGTGAAAATCAAACAAAGAACGAACTCCAACACCTGCATTATTTTCATTCATGAGATAAAATAAATTAATGTGAATTACCAGCTGCTTAATGGAGTTCTGTTGCTCTTGCATTATTGTCATATATGTAGAGGCCTCCTCCTTTGTGGAATACATATCCTGTTCTTGCTCGTCATAATTCAGCAGGCTCAGTGTAGTCTAGAGGACAGGAAGGGACATGTAATAAGCAGACACCCATACACATAGTTAGGCTTCTTCCCTCAGTCTTACCTCATTAGGTAAATTAGCTTTCCTGTTGAACATGAGGGAGTAAGGGGTGAACTTGGTCGTAGGGTTGGTGGACGTCCTGAACAAAAACAGCACAGGGTCCAGAAAGTCGTCCCATTCCGCCTGCTTATCCGTTACCATCTGCACAACAGCTTCCTTCAGTAAAGGACTCGTGCAGTCGTGGAGCGGGTTGAGCTGAGGTTGATCCAGAGGAGACACCTTCTGCACGATGCTCCACCTGTCGCACAGCAGCTTCGTAACCTGGAAAACATCCGTATATGCACTGACAAAACCGACCAACAAACAGTACCACAATCTCTGATCGGTTTATTTCAAATGAACTTTGTGATTCACAGCTCACCTCATCACAGAAGTCAGCATTCTGCATGCATACTATTGTTTTAGGGGCACCAAACCTAATTCAGCAGAGAACAGATTTAGTGCAATTTCAGGTTAAAAATATCTTAAAATTGAGGGTATCAACATGCATTAAACTACAAGTAGTGGCCTAGATTTAGATCTCATTTCAACTTCAGTGACTATTCAAGGTTTTATGTATTTTACCTGTATATACATTTGGAGATGCATCTTGCAACAGAGAAAGCATCTGTCTTTTGCACTGGAAATGCTTCTGGCCATTTACTGAGGTAATCGATGAGGACTGTAACATGAGTGTTGCCTTGCTGTGTCTCTGGAAATGGTCCTGGTGAGAGAAGAGAAAAACAAAACAGGTGTCAAACTAAGGAAAGAAATTAAAGAACAGAAAAATGTTATTTGTTGATTTAATTGAGGCAAAAACCTATAATGTCAATCCCAACAATATCCCAAGGTGTGTCCACTTTTATAGGCCGAACCGTCCTTGCCAGGTTTTTATTCCTCTCTGTGTGCTGACAGGTCTCACATACTTTAATCTGGAACAGGCAGGAAACAGTTATCATATTATCAGTGTAGTACCCTGTGATATTAACTGAGCCAAACAAAGATTTAAGTACCCAATCCACTACATCCTTGATGATCCCAAGCCAGTAGTACTTGCTCTGGATTCTGTGGACAGTCTTCTTTTGGCCCAGGTGATGGCCGATGTCGTTGAAGTGGCAGTCAAGAAAAATCTGCCTCTTCCTCTCAGCCTCAATTACCACCTCCCTCTTCTCCTCTTTCTTGGGTCCCACATAGTACAACTTGCCCTCTTGAATAAAAATATGAATGAATGAGACGTGTGAGATATTTGACAATTATTGACAGTGTAAGCAAGGTTTAACTACCCCCAAACAGAAGACTAATACTGAATGCAGACAAATGTATAAGAGAGAGACTCCTGGCATACAGAAAGAACATGACACCATGCTCAATTGAAAAATATTTGTACTTAACTTAGTCGTGTTTATCTGAAAAGCTGGATATTTGATTGAATATAACTTTGGAGTTGCTGGAAACATTTGAGGTTCATTCTTCAATTTGGCATTTACTCTATTTACCGAACACAACTTATCTCCTGAAAATGTAAACTTTTAAAAGTAGTTGAGATGTTTTTCCCATAACGCTTTCCCCCTAAGCAATATAACATAGTTAGCACCAAGAGCTAGTTTTAGAAGTTGAGAGTTAACTGATACAGAGTACTGGTTATGGTGAGCCACTAAGTCAATGAGCCGAATTTTCTAAGGACTCAGTCAGATTCATAAAATATCGTTTGTTATGTCCTAGAAGGTTCACACTTTGTGACAACCCAGGGAAGTTTAAATTGGCAGTTTTATGAATCGAAGTTCGTCATGTCAACAGACAGTAGCGCTAGAGGATAGCAATGCATACTCAGTGTTTGCCACTATTAAATTCAAGTTTTAATATAACCCTTACCGTCAACGATAAACTTCTGGGCGTATCTTTTGAGATTCTTCTTTCGTAAAGGATTCATCGTCTGGGGCAAACAGCCTTTAGCCACTAAAGTGTAAATGTCACCGAGTTTATTGGAGCTGGATTCAACCACCTCCTCCTCAGCAACTTGCAACGACTCCACGCTTAACATTTCAGCTCAGACTTAAAAATTAGTACAAATAAGAGCAATTACACACCTCGATAAACATAAATATGCTGAATACCAATCGGCATATTTAGAAACGGTGCTGCTGCTGATAACGAAGACAAATCCACAATAAAATCACACACAGGATGAAGACA